TCTGTCCGCTAGCAGTCGATCCAAATTTGGTACCGAGCAAAATGGCGGACGACTAGGGCAAGCACCCTCGCATTCGTCAAGAGCAGGAAATTATCCGAGATGTCAGACTGAACGTGCCCCCTGTCGACATGTCACTTATTTTTGAGTATTGCATGCTTCTCCATTTCTGGCGGAGTGCCTATCGGAGAACGAGGTGGTTGTTTGTGTCAGCCACTTGGTAATGAGCGACACTCACGGCCAGCGTTGCTATGCCGTATCGAGAAGCTGTCAGTAGCTGTAGGTCAGTGCGGGCCGAAAGGGCCGCGGCCCTTTTCGACACCCGCTCTGCACACCATAATTGCCTTCAGCCCATCGAGGCTATCCATTCCGGGAGCCCCCAAGGTCTGAGCGAAGTCTCCGGTAGATCGGCAGTGGCCAAAACGTGGGAGGGGGACTTCCAGACCCTGTGTAGACTCAGCAGCAATCCTTTTCTGGAAACAGTTGTGGATCAGAATGAGACATCTGAGGATCAATACCGGGCAGGGTGGAATAATGCAGGACGGCGTGAGATTTTTCCCAAACGCGCCAATCGGGTGGGATGCCCTGTTCGCCATGGACTACTGCATTTTGCGCCAAAGCAGGGACCTGCGGTGGTGAGAGGGGATGGAATAAGGAATAATAATCGGGCTCGCCTGATGGGCTATAGTACACCGAATTATGCTATATACAGGGGCGCCATTTGCGAGCATCCAGAAATTCACGGCTCGCTACGCCCATCTTCGGAGCGCCGAGAGGCATGGTGGCGTATTATTGCCTGTCCGTCTGAACTACGGTACCAAAAGCATTTTTGTTTCCTTTGATCGTCTCTCTTTGAGGAACAAGTCAATTCAAACGCCCCGCCGGCCGGGACGGGAAGAAGGAAGACCTCGATCTAGAACTTTTATTTGTTTGTATTGCTGAATATTCAGGCTAAGGGAATAACACCAATAATGAGGATCATCATAACAATAGGAACTGGTCGCTTTCAAGGCCACTTGAACAAAGACAGAAAGAACATGCACAGGCCAAAGCCAAACCGGCCTAACCAACCAGGGAAATGGTCGCTGGAACCACCGGGTATGCGATCTCCTGGACACTTCTCGAATTTGGCGAGTCTCCGAGATGGTCTATACCCAAGTCACGCTGCTGAACACCCCCTGAGGCCGTTGCGGCAACAGGGACGAAAATCACAATCAAAGTAAGCTGGGAAGACGCGGCGCAGAGAGCCGGCTCTCGCTCACAGCCCAGTGATCAATCTTCCCCAAACCAATAACTCTGAGACTCGCGTTCCATGGGTGAGGAGCTCGGCTGGTCGTGCGAGGTTGACGCTTGACCGTCCAACCGCGCTCGAGGGAGGTGGCGAATTACGGACAAGCTGTGGTCCAGGAGGCCGCCGCACCTGTCAGCATGGTTGCAATAGGCAGGAGAGACTTCTGGCACAGTCTATCACCTGCCACCGCCGGTATCACCGCCCTCGCACACGGACTGTGATGGCCCAAAAAGTTGGTCGGAATGCTTTATCGCTTGACAATTGAAACTATCGCCAACAGTTAGCTTTCGGGTTCCAAAAACATCAAGGTCACGCACCGATATCCTCGTCGGCAAGCTCGTGCGCGAGACCAACTCGCTGCGGTTGGTGTTTCACGGAACGGCCGTACACGATGGCTTGTTTGAACTGATCTTTGATCGTGCGGTGAATAGCATTACACTGTTCATAGTTAGCGTAATATCTCCGATGGGCTATAGGCAAGGGATCCGTACGAAATCCTCGACAGTACACGCGTTGGATCGGAGCACAACGGGTGCGCTGTAGTCAGGTGCCCTGCCCTTGGGCTTTGTATAGATTCGGCGCAATTGGAGCTTCTCCCACATCATCTCCATCAGCTCGTCAACGTTCCACCCGTGCTCCGAACTGATAGGGCAAGCGTTGGGGATCCGGTAAATAAGATCCAACTCTTCAATAGAAATGGAATCGATCTTGTTCAGAGCATAGACAACGGGAATATAGCTGCGGCTCTTGGCTTCCAGAATGTCAATCAGGTCGTCAATTGTGGCATCACACCGAATGGAGATATCGGCAGACGAAATTTTGTACTCGTTCAACACGGCTTTGATCTCCTGTGTTTGTGCGTTAGCAATGCCTTGACGTTCCCTCCACAGGTACTTGCCTCGGGTGTGATATTCGTCAATGGCACGGTGCTTGTGATCGCAATTCCACCCTTGTCCTTCTTCTTGAATACGATGTTGGGTGGTGATTTGTTGATTCGAATGCCGAATCCCTCCAATTCATTCTCAATGACTCGTTTGTCGACCAAGGGCTTGTTCACATCGAGAACGATGAAGATCAGATTGCAAGTCTTGGCTACTGCAATGACCTGTCGACCACGACCTTTGCCGTCTTTGGCACCTTGGATAATACCGGGCAGATCAAGAATCTGAATCTTAGCACCATTGTACATGACCTGACCGGGGACAGTCGTGAGGGTCGTGAACTCGTAGGCCGCAGCTATAAAGGCACGTTAGAAATCGAATACCTCACGTGGAATTCTTGAAAACCCACCTTCCGAGTGCTGGCCTGTCAGCCTGCTCATCAAAGTACTCTTGCCGACGGATGGAAAACCGATAAAGCCACTAGATAGTCATGAGTCCGGTTTCTATCGATATAAATTCCAGCAAAAACCTACACACTCGCAACACCAGTCCGCGCGACATCGAAACCAGCTGAAAGACTCCCATGTTAGCCATTGACTCTTTGCTCGTGCCAGGTATGAAGACGAGACTCACCACCACCGCCGCCGCCACCGCTGGTCGGAGTCAAAAGCTCTCGCTTCAGCTTAGCAAGTTTTGCCTTCAGTTGGCCTGCCCCAATTGTCAGTCCCTCTTCGGTACTCGAACTGCCAGTATTCCTCTGCGAGCATACCCAAGTGGAAGGAGGTATTTTTGTTCTTCTGAGTCCGAGCCATCTCGGACTCGATCTCTTTGATCTGAAGGCGCGGAAAAAAAACATTGTCAGTGGCGGAAGAGGGTCCAAAGGGCCATGGCACGAACCTTTTCAATGGTGGTCGACATTTTGGCGGTTTAGCCACGCAGCGCTTGAAACAGGAGATGTAATGCAAAGACGCAGACCAGACTGGAATGCGTCTCTCTCAGCTGTGCAGTGAGGGTGAAGTGTGTCTGTCTTGGTGGAGTGTGAAGAAAGACAATCTTTGAAGTCCCTTAGTCAGGGCGGGGTGAAGGCCTCAGGCAGGTATTATGTCATACTTCGGCCTGGGTAGACAGGCATCAATCGCCTTATCGCCTTATCGGCCGGCGGCAACACTTTCTTTCGCCTTTCAATCGATTGAGACGAGCTGCCTTGTTCCACTGCAGAGTCTGATCCCGGTGAAGACTTGGCCGTCACAGCAGAGCAGAAAATCCAGTGCAGACAACCTGTCATTGCCTGCCTCATTCGACCTCGCCGCCGTTTGTTCCTTTCCTTCAGACGGGCCTGGCCATTCTGAAGCGATCGTGAAATTGAACACCTGCGAACAACACCCACCTTCTTCAGCGCACAAGCCATGCCATTCATCGACAGCAATCCCAGCTCGCCGTCTGGCGCTACCAATGACGGCGATTCTTTCGAGAAGCTGGTGCGAGATCTCAGCGCCGCACTGGGTCCAAGTTCAGGGCTCGACTCGGACGATGTCGACCCGGTGGACATCCAAAAGTTGATGGATGGATATGTCTCCAACGAAGAGGATTGGGGCTCATATGCGTTGGGTGATTTCAGTCGAACCTACACGCGGAACTTGATTGACGAGGGAAATGGCAAGAGCAATCTGGTGAGTTCTAATGGCAGTTGTGCGGAGATAGGTATGGATGGGCTAATTCAAATGCATTACTTTAGTTGATACTCGTTTGGAGTCCTGGGAAAGGCAGCGCAATCCATGACCACGCCAATGCGCACTGTGTGATGAAGGCAAGCATTCTCTCAAGTCCAACCAAAGTTTCCTTAACTAACCCATATCTCCGCTTAGGTTCTCAAGGGCAAGCTCCAAGAAACCCTCTACTCGTGGCCAGACAAGGAGAAGATTGAGCACGGACAGACCTCGCCGCCACAGATCACGAAAGAGACCATGTATGGCGAGAACCAAGTTACCTACATGTCCGATAAGGTAAATTAACATCCCCTCGAACATTGACAACCAAGTTAACAGATCAAACCCCAGCTTGGTCTCCACCGGATCTCCAATCCTGACCCTGATCATTTTGCCGTCTCTTTGCACCGTACGTCTACTCTCCCTTTGATAATACGTTGATCACGAAGAACGCGGGAGCTGATAACCAAGTAGTGTATACGCCTCCAAACGCCGCGATTCACGGCTTCTGCCTCTACGACGAAAAGACCGGCAAAGCAAAGCACATCAAGCAGAGCAACTTCTACTCTTTCCGCGGTCTACGCTACAAGGACGTAGAGCAAGCATAGGTCTCTGTGATAGCTTGGCTCCTTGCGTTTCTTTCTCGGGATTGGCAACTGTATTCTATTCTCTTCGTTCCTCTCCTTCCTCTCTATGCTTATTCCCTGCAAATCCTTTCTTGTGTGATACCACTAACGTCCCTTGGCGTTTACCCTGACTTTTTTTGGCTCTGTGCATTCTTGTGGCTGGGCATTTCTCCGTTTCTCTCGCTTCTACTTTTTTCCCCGACTATTCATACCGGCTCGGTGTTCTTTGTAAATAGAGACTGAAGTTCGGTTCTAGCATTAACATTAGCCTTAGATAAAACCATTGATACTCCGTTTGCATTCGAAGGCACATCCGTCTGCTTCTCTTCTATGCCTTTACTATGTTGTAGCATTGATACCATTCTCCCAATATCACTACATGCAGATTTTCTCAACACAGCCAGGCATCACCCTATCCTATGCAACTTCGGAATGAATACATCGAATACTGTCACAATACGATCTCCCTACCAACTTCCATCCACAATTATCCCAACAACTACCTCCCCCGATCATCGGTCTCACTGCTCCTCTCACCCCCCGAACCATCACCTGCCTGATCCGCACGAGCTTCCCATGCAACAAGCCGACTAAGCACGTGCTCCGGATCACCCAAAACGTCGGACTGCCGGCGGCGCAGCTCCTCGAGCCGGACGAGGGGATTCTGTAGATCGCCACAATAAGTACGTTGCTGTGAGCAGGTGAGAAAACGCATCAGCTGTGACACCCACCCAGTCCTCCTGGCTAGGGACGCCCTCTGCAATCGGCAGGGCCGTGGCGCGGTCCTCGTCATCATCATCATCTGCTCCGCTGAAAAAGGAGGGGTGGATTGGCGCGGGTGTTACGGGTAGACTGGGGCGTTCGACTTCGGTGGGGAAGTCGGTGAGCTTGATGCTGGGTCTGCTGGATGCTGGGACGGGGATGTGATCCGTTGCTGAACCTGTGAGGGGAGGACTAGATCCAGAGCCTGATATCACTTGTGGTCGGCCGCGGCGCGCTTGTTGCATTGAGTGCATGTACCGCTGGATATCCGGGTCCTCGTCCCACGCGTTGGAGCGAGTGTATGAGTCCCAGCTTTCGGACGCTTGCGTCGCGGATTGAGGGGAGAGTGACGGCTCCATGGCAGATTCCGCTGTGCCAGTGGCTAGCTCAGAGACTGGGTTTGGAGATGAAACTTCAGGACGTGGAAACTCCTCTGCAAAAACGCGGGTCGGTTTCGGTGCGCGGCCCTCCCAGGGGAACAGCTGTGCGAGCTTTTTTGGTTCTGGTCTAGTCACTGGCACTTGGTAGTACATATTCCTTGGGGCTTCTGGGTACGATGGAGGAGGCTGGAAGAGCTCAGTATCCTTCGACATGGTGTATGTCTTCTGTTGTAAGCTGATCCCTTCAGGCTTAGAATTCAATGGCGGAGGCTCCCTGTCATGTGTAAGCATGGCCATTGTGGGCAAATATCACGCAGGTTTCATACCGTGATGCATCCCATTCTGCCTTGGGGGCTTCGAATATCGGGGATGCTGGTGTCGGAGAAGGAGGTCGCTGATACGGCTCATCCACTGGCGGTACAGGCCTCGTTGGTTGTGGTTGCTGAATGCCATCTTCATGGGGTATATGATGCGTATGTGCTGGCTGGTTTTGTACTTCAAGACTTGGTTGGGTTTCATGCGAAATGATAGGCGCTGATGCATGTGGCAGTGGAGGAATGTAGGTCGAAACATGCTCTTCTCCCCGTACATATTGGGGGACGACACTCAAAACTGGAACTGGAAGTGACACTACCGTGCCTGTGCTGTAATCTGTATGATGTCCGATAGGGTGCGTCTGTTGGGTATCTGGCGGCACGCCCTGGGTTGAGACAAGCAATGGTGTTTCTTCGTGATGAGAGCTGGCGGGGACATCTGGAGAATGAACCTGGTGTTTCTCTGGCCACTCATCCTGAAATATAGCAAGTCCGCTTGTAGCTCGGCGGGTGCTCTGGACTGGACCGGTCCCTGTCCCCATCTCCGCAGCAGGCACATAATGGCCGCCTGATGAATAGGACGGGGGATTGTGAGGCTGATGCGCGGTTACCTAAACACACATGATCAGCCGACATCAATACTCTGAGGAGCAAACCAAACTGACAAAAGGCGGACGGTAATGCTTATCGTAGATACCCCACCAATGAGCCAGGAGCTGATTATATGGCGACTCGAGCGGAACCACCTGTCTTGGCAAGGTCCACGGCTTCTGCGCGCCAATGAAGTGGATCAGACTGATAGTGCTCTGGAAATGCTTGTAGGCCGGGATATACTGGTAGTTAGCGCTCGGGGTACAGTTATATGTAAAGCTCAATCGGTGCCAGTCCCGGAAGTGCATATTCAGCAGTCCTTGGTCAGCGCCATCGAAGCTGATGCCTCGGTCAGCGAGCGCCTTCAGGGCATAGTAGTCCTGCAAGTTGGGTCGGAGGACCATGAGTCCACTATTGAAGCAATCCGGCCACCCAACGTCCGGTGCAGCGGCAAAGTCTGCTTCCAGAGACAGAAGCTCGTCGGGAGCTCGCATGGCCACGACATCGCAGTCGATATATACAATGCGACGATATTGAGTCAGTCGCCAGAGCTCAATCTTGGTGAATGTCGTGACCAGGTCGGGACGTTCCATGAGCCAGAGATTGGCGGGCGTGCTGTTCGCTATTGAGTGTACTGGGACAAGCTCATCGTAGACGGTCTTGAGACACAAGGTTAGCTTTTGGGCGAGAACCCTCTCCAACAAAACACACCCTTAATTCATTGACCGTCGCTGTCTGTAGTGTATCCGGAGTGAAAAGCGCAACTAGCTTCGCTTTGGTCCCATTGTCACGCAAGGAATGGGCCAGGACCATAGCACCTGGCCAAGTCAGCAATCAAATTTCGAACACCATCGAGAAGAAATTTCTTACCCGGTAGGTAATGATCGCTCAAGAGAAGCTACCGTCGTCATTGCTGTATCAGCCAACAGGTCTAAGTGGAGCAGGCCGAAGGGGCCTAACTGACCGTGCAGTAGACAGCATCACCGTCGGAATCCATCGCGCCCACAGCTCCTCAGCTCGAGGGAAGCACCAATCGAATCCGCTGGGCGGGACAAAACTCGCGAGAAATGAATGGAAACAAAGGGAAAAGGAAAGGAAAAAGTCTCAAGAAAAGCGATATAGGAGGGGCGTGGATATATTTAACCCGGTTATTGTTACTCTTTCGCAGTGACCACCGCCGTTCGGACCGGGCCTGCCCGCCAACAGCTCGCTGTGGTGGTACCTGGGCCCGACGCAGGTTCGAACAGACGAAAACAATCGGCTTTCAGAGGTGCTGCATCGTGGTCGGGTGGCTTGTGCGAGGGGTACTTGGTCAATGTGGCGATCAGGGGAGAGAGGGTGAGGAACGGAGAAGGTGGATTGGAGAGGGGAAGCTCCGAGAAGAGCTTGAGTGGGTCAAGACCGAACGGGGAAACCCAGTGGATCGAATGAGTGGACAACAAACACCAAAGACACAACACGAAGAGGAAGAAAGAGAAGAACGGACGTGAGAGAGAAAAAGCCAACGGTGTCGATCTCGACCTTCCCCTCACCGGGTCAATTACGGAGTTCTACCACATTCTGCCTTAGGTCGGGATTTACCACAAACTACACTTTTATTAGGGAATAATGTATGACCGAAATAATAGTTAATGCTTTACCTGAAACACAATCCAACACGGGGCAAGCCCCGCGATACGTAGTCGTACAAGATCCGACCCAGGAACACGTAAAGATAAAGTCAAAAAGAAAACTCATTCGTTATCATGCTCTAGCCATTTCCACCCTCATCGACGAACAGTCACCTTGGCATTCGGGTACGCCGCCTGGACAGCAACACCAACATCCTGCTTCTCGCCCAAAGCAGCCCACTCAATGGTCTTCTCGAGAGCCGCACGGCTCTCCGTCTCAACGGGGGTCCAATGACCCGACTCCGGGAGCATCACGACCTGGCTACCATGCACCAGGTAGTCGGCGATGCCATCTAGACAGATGTGCGGGTCGAGCGCAATGTCTTTCTGGCCCCAGATGATCGTGGAGCTGGCCTTGAGCACACCGGGGGCCTCCTCGTCAAAGAGGCCGGCTCCGCTGCTGGTCCGGCGCAGCTCGTGCCCTCCCCCAAGACTGTGCAAGCTAGCGATGGTCTCGAGGGATTTCTGCCAGCGCCCGGTGGCCGCGCCGTCACGGTAATAGCACACTTTGTGGTTCAGCGACGCGTATGCCCGCTCGTCGTGGAGCGTTGAGGGGTATGTATCCCCCGATGCAGTCTGCGTCCGGCTCTCAGCGGCGGATGGACCCATGCCGCTGGCCATGGACTCGGCTGCGTCAACCGGGGTGAGTTCGGCCTTGCCAATGGATGCTTTGTGGATGCCCTTCATCAGGGAGTAGTTGCCGCCGAGCATGAAGTACTCGACAACGGGAAAAGGCAATTGGAAAGCGAAAATGTATCCGGACAGAACCAGCTGGCGGAACAGGGGGGCCAGGGAGCGAAATGCTTGGACTAGCGGGGTGCGGGATTGGAGAGGAGAGCGCAAGGCGGTCTTGAACATCTTGAGGGACGAGGAGAGCATGCGGCGGATATTAGATTCAACCAAATGCACCTGCGAGAGGTTAGCCATCACCGTCAAAGAATTGGGTCAACTGTAGATCTCACCAATGGCCCATTGGTCAGGATGAATCGATGCGCCAGAGACGGCGCCTCAGCAGCAAGCCGCATACACACCACACATCCCCAGTCATGCCCAACGACAATAGTCTTCTTCTTGTTGCTCTCCTCACCTTGATCCACCCCATATTGAACCCGCAGCGCCACAATGAGCTCCGTCACTTTTTCATAGACATTCGTCGACGAGTACGTGTCCAGACTATCTGTGCCTCCATAGCCCGGCAGGTCAATGGCAACGAGAGTCGCCGTCTTCTGCAAAGAGGGGGAGCTCATGAGTTGGCGCCATACCGCCCAGCTATCGGGGAAGCCATGCACAAGGATTACTAAAGGTTTGGAGGATTTCAAGGCGGCGGGCGTGGCAGGGGCGTCGTTGCTGACGAAATGGAATTGGAAACCGCTGCGGAGGGTTATAATGTGGTGAGACAGGCCGGACCAGTCTTTGGAGAGGTTCCAGAGTCGGTCACGAGCTGGAATGAGGGAGTGGCGTGGATCAGTGATGGGTTGCTTCATGGTTGGGTGTCTGGGGCATATGGAATGTCGGGGGAAGGCATCGTCGTGACGGAAACTATAGAGCTGTAGCAGCACTCACCCAGCTGAAGTTCCAACTTCTCTTTCTCAGATGCCCGCTGGAAGAAGGTCCCCCGTTTGACTGCAATGCAGCCGTAGAGCACTACCGTGAAGAAGCCATAGGCAAGGACAGCGGCCGAGGTGAGGGAGCGGGCCACAAAACTCGCCATGATGGAATCCTACGCGGTGACACGAAGGCAGATGGAGAGAAAAGGGGGTGTGAAGGGGCAGACGAGGGGTGTTTAAAAGCAAACGAGAGCTGCTGGTTCGCGCGTCATGGGGTTAGTCAGCCCTTTTGGCGATGCAGTGCATGGACTGGACTGGAACTATAGGAATCGAGATAGGCAACACAAGTATAATCATAATAATGGCCCCCAACGCCAAGTGGTTCCCTCTTCACATGCACATCGAGTTATGGAGATGAAAATGAAATGAAAAGACAAAGGGTATTAAAACACGGTGGGTCGGTGCAGGCACCAGCACAAAGAAGAAATAAACAAAGCTGCAGAGGTCCTCGACAAGCAACGAGTATATACATGACGCCATCTACAAGGGAAAGCAATTAGGGCAAATCTCACAGGGAGAAGCCTAATTGCTCTCTCCGGTCATCCACCAGCCGTCCGTACCTGCAGTGGACCACTAGTTAGCAACTGGGCTCGCCGATAACCGCGCGGGAAAGATCATTACTTACTCGAGAAGTAGCCGGAAGAACCAAACCTCCAAATCTTCTTTGCGGAGCACTTGCTGCGCCCAGCGCTGGCCCTGGGCCGCAATCTGAGGCGCGGCCCTCTTGCCGTCGTCCTCCAGGGCGAAATACCGCATGCTTTCCACGTATTCGTCCCCCTTCAGGCTCAGGGGCACATAGTGCACCCACGGCTTGAGCCACTCGTCGTGCCACTCGCGGAAGATGGCAATCTTGTAAACGAAGCTGTTGCTGAGTAGGAACGCGTAGAACCGCCCGCTGAACGCATTGCCGTCCACATCGACCAGGAATTTGTGGGCCCAGGCATCCTGTTGCCCGGCCGCTTTCACCACGTCAAAGTATTCCGTCTGGGCATGGCAGTCCTCGGGATCGCACTGCCCGATGAAGGTGAACTTGACATCAAACAGATCGCGGTACGTATCCCGGCTGACCTCCTGCGACACCCACTGGTTGCCCTCCTGTCGGGCAAGGATCTTGGCCGAGCCAAGGGAGCTAATCGTGTCGACAAACTGCTGCCGGTGCTGACGACGCCAGCCGCCGGCACGCGAAAAACCGCCGGTCGTCGAGCCGCGCCAGTACATCCGGTCCGATTTAGACTCCCAGGCAATATCCTTGCGCCCTTCGTACGGGACTTTATCGGCAAAGTACCAGGGACTCGGGTAGAGAATGTCCTGGAAACTGGAAATTTTGCTTTGTGAGAAGACAGGGAACAAATCGTGGACGATATCAAACGCATTGGGTCGGTCGAAGAACCCGTAGGTGTAGCGAAGGGACGGGGTGTGACAGATATCGGAGAAGGCCGTGGTGTTGTAAATAAACCCCAGCTCGCCGTGCGCGTAGGAGCTGACATCGTCCATGGGATCTTCCTCAAGCGAGCGAGCGGGACTATCCGCGGGACAGGAGTTGCGCGAGTGTGTCCAGGTCGGCTGGTGCGCAAACCGATTGAAGCGGGTAGTGCGCACTTCGTCAATGCGATCGCCCTTGTTGAGATCGGAAGCCCGAGCAGACCACGAATTGGTGGGAGACGGGCTCTTGAAGGCGGCGGGAATCACCTGGTCCTTGGCCTTCTGCACCAGCCGCTGAAGATCCTCCGTGGGGATGACCACACGCGGTTCGTCGTGCATGTTGAAGACCAGATCCATGTCCGGGAGGTACTTGACAAACTGTGCCATCATGCCGACCGTGGTGTCGCGCTGCCACTTGCGATCATCACCGCCACCGTCCGTCAAGGAGACCTTGCCGTCACGAATCAAGACGCCAATCACCGCATTGTCGAACCCCAACGCCTCTCGTGCGCGTTTGCGAATCGTTTGGGGCGGGAGGCCCCAGAAGGGCAGGAGGGAATGGTAGATGGAGTCGAATTCGTCGACAAGCTGAACGCCCTTGGATTTGGCAAACTCGAACCACTTGTCGAAGTGTGGCGGCGGGTGCATCTTGTAGCGGCGCTCGTACTCGCTCACGGCCTCGGCCAAGGTCTTCGACTGGTGGAAGCGCACATTGTCAAAAGACTGCTGCGCGTTCTCGATCAGACTGCTGATGGGGTGGCCCTGCTCTGGCGGGAATGAGGTCTGGCCCGCATGAGTGTGAGGGTGTTGAATGGGTTCAGGCGGAGGGAGGTCGAGGCGTGGCGCTGGGGATTGGGAGGGACGAAGGAGCACGAGGGTGAAGCATGCAAGGACGACGATGGTCAGCAGGAAGACTAGGCGTTGTTTGCGCATGCTGCCATTAGGGGGAGGCATAAAAGGAGGGCATAGAGGGGGAGAGGGAGAGAGGGAGAGTGTGTGTGAAAGACAGAGTGGAAGCGTTGGTGGAAGCGTTGGTGGAGGCGTTGGTTTGCGCTCTCACTCAGTGCCTCCGGGGATGCCAAGAGCCGGCCACGCAGTTTAAGTGTAGTTAGTGGGTTACTTGGGTAGGGAAAATAAAGAAGCAAATCCGGGTTTCGTGTACTGCGCTTCTACAGGAGGCAAATCCGTGCGTCAAACGATAGCGGTGGCAAGATCCGATCTGCTAGGTATTCTTCGCGTGCTCGCCATAATGGGCTAAAAATGGCCACGGCTAGCTACCCCTGCAACAAATATCCATTTGGACCATCTTTCACAAGGGTGAGCAACTATAAATGTAGCCGAACATAATAAATCTCTTATCTTTGTTTTCGTTTTTGTGTTTTGGTTTGTTTTTTTGAACTGTAGCCTCTCTTTTCGACGAATACTTTGAATTGGAATTGAACCCCGACAGAAAGCAAATCACGATCCAGCAATACAGGAACAGGAGTAGTCATGCTAGAGGACGTAACAAGTGGTTGGAGTCCTATTTGGTTGTCCATGCCCCCGGATTAGGAAGAATAGCAACTGGAATGCAGCACGAGATCGGAGCGTAGGCTGCTGTTCACCATAGGGCCAGCTGCAAACGTTTTCCCGGGGGGGTGTTTCTTCCTTTTTTTGATCAGGCCAACATGAAAACTAGCGGATAGCATCCGGAGAGTCTATAATGCGATGTATAGCTCACTGCATCAACCACTCCCTGAGACTCTGCAACTTGTGCCGAGAGAAATAGGTTCACGGCATAGGCAGACGCAAGCACCAGGGGCTTGGTCTAGCCCTGTAAGCGGACACGCGGGCGCCAATCCTTTACGTTTTCGGGCCCCGTCTACCGGTGGCGGCTGGACGCTGCAGAATATTAATCAGACTCAGCTGTTTCTTGAAATGTAACCCCCCCCTCCTTATTTACGGATTTCTTTTCGCACCTTTCGATCCTCTCTCGTCCCTCTTGGTTGTTGAGAATCCATGCTCCACGAATTGTAGGTGCCCCGGTGGGTTTGTGCAACGCCATGGGGAAATTTGTCATGCTCAAAGAAAAGCCGCTGCATTCCCGACCTCAGCAAAGACGGCTCTTCGTGCAGATTGCTTGTATTCTCGCTTTGGTATGGGTCTGTTATCGGACTCTGATCGGCTTGGGGGGTAAGTCACTGCTGCGACGAGGAACCAACTGAAAGAACCTGCGCTGACCATTCATCTCATGCTCTAGGGTCCTCGCATTCTTCGCAAGATAATCGTGCAGCGGAGGATCACCATCTCACAGAGAGCTTGTCTCGGATGGTGAAGCTGCTACCAGATGAATCCCAGACCTACAAGCTGCTGAAGCCGGTTGGGACCACCGGAGAAGAGAGATTGAAAGAATTCGGACTGCGCACTCGCGAATACAAGGAGCTGTTCGAAGCCTGGGAGACATTACATATCAGCACCATCGGCGACAATAGATTTATCCGCGACGATGTGATCCAACGCATACAGCGCAACCCTCAGATCGCCAGCTCGCTTTCCATGGGCCACGCCGAACTGATCCAATATTACGAATCTTATCGCTCAACTATTACCCGTCTGGCGACCCTGTTGTTCCCATGGACAGCGCCTTACTTCTCGGACCATTTACAACTGCGCCACCAGTTATCGCAAGGCGGGCGCGGTCTGGTTTTCACCGCAGGGAACAGCCATGCTCCCTACTTGCTCACCTCGATCCCGGTTCTCCGCCAATTAGGCTGCCACCTGCCGATCGAAGTGATGTATCTGGGCGATGACGACCTCCAACCGAAATATCGGACCCAACTAGAGGCCCTTACAGGCGTGGTAACACGGGACCTGCGGCGGATGGTCAACGACGTGGGATGGGAATTGAGAGGGTGGGCCGGCAAGCCCTTCTCGGTGCTGCTGTCCAGCTTCCGGGAAGTGATCTTCATCGACGCGGATTCTCTATTCCTGCAAAATCCAGCGGACCTGTTCGATGACCCCGCGTACAACGAGACCGGGGCGTTGTTCTTCAAGGATCGAATCATTCTCCCCGAGTCGAAGAAGGAATGGCTCACGCGGATTCTTCCGCCCCCGGTTTCCAAGAATGTGAGGGACACCCGTTTGTGGACCGGTGAGAGTGGCCATATGCAGGAGTCAGGCGTCTTGGTCATCGACACATGGAGGCATTTTGTGCCTCTTCTTCTGGTCACCCGCATGAACGGGCCGGATCGTGATGGGGATTCGGCGCGGGGGGTTAGAGGCGTGTATGACATGCTTTTTGGTAAGAGCATCTCCTCCTTCATATAGTGGTACAATTCCTGACTAGAAACAGGTGACAAGGAAACGTTTTGGCTCGGCTGGGAGCTTACAGGAGTCACGGATTATGCATTCCACGATGGCGGTGCCGGAACGATGGGAGTTGCTAAGACTGAGCCGAGCAGCCAATCCGACAGCTACACCATCTGCGCACCACAGCTTCTGCACCTTGACCGGACGGGCAGACCTCTTTGGTTCAATGGGTGGTTGCTACCAAATAAATTTTCCAGCAAGGAGCCCGGCAAGTTTGAATCTTTCATCAGGGAAGAGGAGGGATATGTGAACGATGACAGTCCGTGGCAGCTGCGCACCAGCAACGTTTGCTGTCTCACGTCGAACAAGGTGTTTGACTTTTCCGACAAGGAGAAGCGTGTTCTCGAAATGACTATTGATTCAGGGAGGCGCACGGGAGCATTGGGAGAGAAGAGCACGAGCTCATAGTACAATAACTATATCCAAGTAAAATGGAAACAAAGACTGTCTTATATTCATCAACCTGTCTAGATCCGAAGTCTCTGCTAGGGCTATTTATACTATCCCCGCCCCGCCACAGACCCAAAGAATAGATCATCTATCTCTATACTCAACTTCGTTGCACCATTACCCACGAACACACCCCGTTAACCACAAAAGCACCCAGAGCCTGCAACATATAAAACTGCGCGTGGGCCACATGGAAGTACGCAGCCAGACATAACCCCAGCACCAACGACAGATGCACAACATAAAAAGATCGCCTCCGGTCTTGCATCGAACCCAACGGTGATGACGACAGGAGCGCCCCCTTGGATACAACAGCACGCGGCCGCACATACAATAAAATCGACACCATCACAGAAATAGCGAGAAGTCCACACTGCACGTCGAGATCACGCACTCGTTTCAAGAGCAGGGACCCGAATTCGGGGTGACTAGACTGCACGAAGAACGCTAGGTAGAGAACCGCATGCCCCAGCAGAAGAGGAGAAATGACTGTTCGCCCAAAGAGACGGTGGTACGGCGTTAGCATTGACTGCGGGAGTGAAGTCAAGACCGAAACCATGGATGCGGCGGATGGTTTCGTGGTTGAGATGTATGCTGCCGGTGACATGAGGACCTGCAGCGGGACCTGGGAGAGGGCGACGTGGGCCAGTGCTTTTGTCAGATGGAGATAGTCTGGCATATCCTTATCAGTTTTCGTTCGTTCTATAAAGAGATTCATGAAGCTCAGGATCCAGGGAGGATGAGAGAGAACATACCATCCCCGCTATTCCACACCGACAGACTAAGAAGCCACGCAAGCCAGATGCTGCAGATGAGATATTGTCTTCGGGATTCGATGGTCCCAGAGACAAGAGGGAGATCCCACCAGGAGGTCGGTCCGCGGCGCGGTTTGGGCGTGGTCGCTGACGCGGTGGTTAAGGATCGGTAGATGCGGATGATGATTATCACCGCAAGTATGGACCACTGCGCGTAGGTGCCGCGCAGGTCAAGCAAGTCGCGGCGGCGCAGTTTCTCGTCTTCAGAGACGGAGACGAAATGCCATGGCCAGGGGGATGACATGGCTTCCGCGCAGTTGACAGTGCGATATAGCGGGATGTATATGTATCTTTTGATTGCAGGGATGGCTGGCTGTTGTCTCCAGGCTTAACGACCGAATGCTTGTACACTCGATCAGCGATGTGGCATCATCATCGAGTTAAGGTTACGCGTGGATGTAGAATCGCTTCTAAATTGAACCGGCTGACAAATGGGCCTCTTTAGTAAATAACTACTCGTCCAAAACTACAACATGGCTTATGGGGATCAAAACCTCTACATTAACAACGCCATGAAGACATCTCATCCCAGTAGGGCTATTCTCTAAACTAACACAGAATGCCCCCAATGGGTTTGGGCGGGCGCCCATATTTGTTTGCCCAATTCCCGCCCGCGTGGAAGACCTGTCCAATTCCGACTTCACCTTCAAGGAGAGGTCTGCATCACCTCCTCCTGGCTACCGCTGGCAGTCGTGGCGAAGTACCGGACATCCACATCGTCATCTCCCTGCAGCTTCTCCAGGCTGGGCAAAATCCGTTGCTGGATAAGGTCTTGACTCTGCGGTGCGGGCGTGACCGTTTCTCCAGACTTCTCCACCTCGGTCAGGGTCTTGTCCGCTGGCAGACGTCGCAGGGTGTCAATCAGCACGGCGTAGGACTTGGCGACATTGAATCGGATGTTGGGGATCTCGTCCTCCACCAGCCGGTCCAGAATTGGCAGGATCGAGCTTTCAATGATATCGAGCGTGACAACGGGAGCAAGAGTCTGGGATCGTCAGCAGCTAGTAAAAAATTACAGCAGTACTGGGACTTACAGAGATGGCGAAGCAGGTGGTCATGCGGTAGAGGTAGTTGGGGTGTTGTCCCATCGCCATGACTTTAGGGATGATAGAGTTCTTGGACCATTCCACTCCAAATACCTCCGTGAGCTTCTTCAAGTTCTGAGTGGCCGCCTCTCGGATCGAGAAGACAGTATCACCCAGCCAGCCCATGCAAAGATCGCTCAGTTGCTCATCAAAGAACTTGACTCCCAACTGGCTAGCGAGAAGAGGGATGTATTCAATGATGGCAAGGCGCACACGCCACTGCTTATCCTCGGCCAGTTGAACAATAGCCGGCAGAAGAGATTGGGAGAGAAGCTCGATGCCAATAACTACAAGACAATTAGAAGAAGGTCGCGATATGACATAAGAAATTCTCACCTTTGTTGACTTGCTCCAGCTTAGAAATGATATGCAGACGAACATCAGGGAACTCATCCTTGAGCATTTGAAGGAACATGGGTAGAAGGTGGGCAATCGTCCTAGAGTAAAGGTCAATTGAATGGCATCCAATTGATTCGAGACAAGAACTCACTCATCCTTGCCCAAGATGGGAGCAAGACCACTGATTTGAGTACCAAGGGCAGCGCGAACGTGCTGAGATGGGTCCGACACCAGATCCTCCACACTAGTCATGATCTCATTAAGCAGAGTGTCGGCATCGATCAAACGGCAGAACCCTATTCACGATATGAGCACTAGATCGGAAAGGACGGGCCAAAAACAAAGCCCTACCTGGAATCTGGCCCGCAATTGCAGTGCGGACTTCCGCTTCAGTATCCTTCAGCAGCTTGACAAAGGCCGGCACCATATCACGAGTCACTACCTCGGCGTGAACAGCATTGGCAATCTGTTGTGGACATTAGCGCGTGCTGATCCACAAGACTGGAAAGCCAGATGACCGACCTTTTCATATCTATCGGCAACCATGTATCTGACGCGCCAGCTCTTATCCTCAAACAGACTCCGCAACGATGTCAAGAGAACACCATGGCTGGGCTGCTGCTCCTTGGGGATTTCCTCCGCGACCGAGATAAGAATATCCACCGTAAGCAGGCGCACGCTGTCCTGATCATCACCTGCCAGGTATTGGAAAAAGGGTATCATTTCGTCGATAATCACCGAGGTCTCCATCTCCTTCACAAATTTGGCGAGGTTGTTCGCCGCTTGTCGCCGCACCATGGGGGTTTCATCGCGTACCAATGCGCCGAAATGCTGACGCAGTTCTTGCTGGCGTGCGGGGGTCGCTTTCCGATACGGCGTGCAGTAAAGACCCGTTGCCGAGACCTTCGAAGTGAACCAATCTGCTTTGGAAAGACGGAAGACAAGGGGAACAAAGTACTCCTCGATCTGGCTCTCTGACAGCAGGTCGCCAACCTTGTTAAGGGATTCCACAGCCTAGCCCGGTCCATCAGCAAAATGTCTCTCGCTATGCAATTTCGATTGCCCTACCTTCTCTCGCACCAGAGGCTCCTCGATGGCCGCCAGGTTCTCCAGCGGGGAGAGGAGTACGTGCCCGTATTCCGGGCCGCCAACGTATTCTGTAAAGTTGCCCAGTTCCTCACTCAGTGCGGTCAACACCTCGTCCTCATCTTCGACGGAGTCTAGCGAATATAGGTCAGGTAAGTTCAGACAGGAAGGTTGTTTTTTAATGGAGACTGACCATCGAGGAATGGAATGAGTTCCTCCCGGGTCCTCTCGGGCCCCAGGGCGAGGGCGATCGTGGATAGACGGTGAATAGCATTGAGTCTGAGAAGAACGTCGTCATGCTATGGAGTTGAGGTGTGAGTTTTGCCCATAACACTTTCCTGCCAGACAAGCAAGGGCGTCGTCATACCTTCAGCTCATCAATGAGTACGGCGATGGGGTAGAGCTCGTCGTTCTCGGTTGGGCCCTCCATCGCGAATGTGTGATCGGATACTGAAGGAGATTGAAGAAAATCACTTTTGGATGTCCCAGTGCTGGGAGTGGGTGGGTTGATATCGGAGGGGGGTCACGACGGGGCCAGCGAGACAGGGATTATTGAACGAGGCGAGTCGGAGGCGCCTTCATGAACACAAGGACGAGTAGGGCACCTAGACCTCGCGCGAGATTAGTTGCGGGCGCGCGGAGGGTGGGAGCAAGGGGATGGTGGTTGGAGGGGAAGCAAAGATGTGGTTGAGGCGAGATCGAGGCCGGAGCCAGGTTTAGTGTTCGTGGGGGCTTTGGGCGGCAGCACCAACAACAGACCAAAGGCAGAGAGAGAGAGAGAGAGAGAGCGCACGAACCTCGACTGAGCAGAACCGTCCAATCCACCAAAGATTGAAGAAGCAGGGGGAAATAAATGCAATGAGCTGTTGTTTGGAAGAGAGCAAAGGGATAAATGATAAAAAATACCTAGGGAACAGCCATCAATTTCATGAGCTTTGCGCGGTCAGTGAAATACCACTGGCAGTGTTGGTCTGGCGGGCAGAAACCCGTAAATACGGTCACCGTCACAAATAGAGGGGTGGCGGTGGAGACTGGCAAAATATCGGAGTCATTCGCACTTTGTCTTGTCTCGGTCCGTTCAGTCAGTTTACGGCGAGAGTATTGTTCATCATGCCTACCATCTCGGTCGACAAGGCCGCCCTGTTCAAGGAGCTGGGCCGAGAGTATGTTGCGCTATTCATTCCCACCTCCTGCACCACTCTAATGGCCGACTGCTAGGTATACGACGCAGGAGTTCGATGAGCTGTGCTTCGAGTTTGGTATGTGCCCAATTCCACCATGGTGACCGGCACGGGCTAACTTGTGCGCTTTTCAATGACAGGCATTGAGCTGGACGAAGATGTACAAACACCCTGAACCATCCTTCCCCCTTGTCACTCGGACTCTAACACCAAAGTTAACAGACCACGGACTCGGACCGACCGATCGTCGATGGAAAGCAGGTGCCGCCGGAACTCAAGATCGAGATCCCCGCCAACCGGTATGCGCCATTGGACTTCATGCGACGGAAAGCAGGGCTAAAACGGTGTGCAGATATGACTTGCTGTGTTTCGAGGGCATTGCGTTGATGCTCAACATCTTCCTGGGCCGGGTATCTCTCCCAGATTACAAGCTCGCCCAACCGGCGAGCGGAGCCCTGGAGACAATCGTTGTCAAGGAAGATGTGCGTGCAACCCCGGGAGTGATTCTAGTCCGCGCATACTGATTCCATGGGTAGACGACGAAGATTCGGCCGTACGTGTCGGGTGCGATTCTGCGGGGAATCAAGTTCGACCAGGCTCGTTATGACTCCTTCATTGCGCTCCAAGACAAGCTGCACCAGAACCTGGCACGGCAACGGACTTTGGTCTCGATTGGAACCCACGACTTGGATACTGTCAAGGGACCCTTCACCTACGAGGCTCTGCCGCCCAAGGACATCAAGTTTGCCCCGTTGAACCAGACTCAGGAGATGGATGCAGAGCAATTGATGAATTTCTACGAGGTAAATTGGCTTCCTGACGTCTTGAGCTGATAGTTATTGACACCCAGCTCCAGAAACACCAACAGTTGGGCAAGTACCTACATATCATTCGGGATTCTCCAGTTTACCCGGTCATCTACGACGCGAACCGGACCGTCTGCTCCCTGCCTCCTATTATCAACGGTGACCACTCCAAGATTACATTGAACACGACCAATATCTTCATTGAGATTACAGCCACGGACCAGACAAAGCTTGAAATCGTGAACCGGATGATGGTCACCATGTTCTCCCAATATACTTCGGAGCCGTTCACGTACGCAAACTCCTTCCTATTGACTAAATATCTGTGGCTCATTTTTCACTAGAATTGAGCCCGTCAAAATCGTGTCAGAGCACAACAAGCAGACCCGAATCACCCCGGACATTTCCCCGCGCATCACCCAGGCTGATGTTACCTACATCAACCAATGCTGTGGCCTGACCCTCACTCCGGTCGATGTCTGTAACAGCCTGCGAAAGATGGCATACCGCGCAAAACCGTCCACCACCTCTACAGATACCGTTGAGATCGAAATTCCCCCGACCCGCGCTGATGTGCTGCACCAATGCGACATCATGGAGGATGTGGCCATCGCCTACGGATTCAACAACCTACCAAGGTCTTTCCCAAGCAAGTCCGGTACGATCGCCCAGCCTCTCCCCATCAACAAGCTGTCCGACATTGTGCGCATGGAGGCCGCCATGGCTGGCTGGTCAGAGGTTCTGCCGCTGATCCTGTGCTCGCACGACGAGAACTTCGCCTGGCTGAATCGCAAGGACGACGGCAACACCGCGGTCAAGCTTGCCAACCCCAAGACCCTTGAGTTCCAGGTCGTGCGCACCAGCCTGCTCCCTGGCCTGCTCAAAACCATTCGCGAAAACAAGAGCCACTCCGTGCCGATGAAGGTCTTCGAGGTCAGCGATGTTGCCTTCAAGGACCTGTCGCTGGAGCGCAAGAGCCGCAACGAGCGCCATTTCGCCGCTGCCTGGTACGGCAAGACTAGTGGTTTCGAAGTCGTCCACGGTCTCCTGGACCGCGTGATGGCCATGCTCAAGAGCGCCTTCATCACCGGCGAGGAGGGCCTCGAGAACGCCGCCATGAGCGATGCGCAGTACTACATCAAAGAACTGGATGGTATGTCCCTCCGTCTTTTTTAAGTTTAGTCTCTAACCATATCCCCTTCTTGCAGAGCCAACCTACTTCCATGGCCACGCCGCCTCTATCCACGCCCGCATCGGCGGCAAGGACCTTGTCATTGGTTCCTTTGGCATCCTGCACCCCACCGTGCTGGAGAAGTACGAGCTCAAGTACCCAACCAGCACCCTAGAGATCAACATCGAGGCTTTTCTGTGAGCTAGTGTCCTGACAGTTGACGCTTCTATACCTGTGACTCAGGTAGACGATGGCATGAAGTCAAGTTGAATGTTGTTTTCAATAGAGCAATGATGTCCAAAAAAATTTAAAACTGAACTTTTTACATTTTAAAACAATTGTTGGTATATAGATTCTTCAATGACAGACAAGATATATTTTGCCTAGGGATACTTTGCGGGCTTTGATTATAACGCTTCTTGGGGAACTGGATATATATACATCCGTTAACAGTCTATTCAGTTCCAGCGTCATCAATCCTTGGCAATTTTTTAGGCCATCAAGGACAGAATTCTACATCACTACAGCTCCTGCATTTCCATTCCAATCAGGACAGAAGAGAAACACCAACCCTTCAATAAGGCCACACGAGTAGAGGCGAGCAGATTTTGGAATATCGTAGTTTTTATTTTGCTTTCCAGAAGTATGGAAGGGATAAAAGGTTTATGAAACAAAAAAGCCGTTAAACAAGATCACTCCTGGGCATAACCCTCGGCACCACCCTGGGCCTCGGCGGCCTGCTCCTCGGCCAGACGCTGCTGCTCGGCGAGTTGCTGAGCAGCGACGGCCTTGGCACCGTAGTCTTGGCTCATGGGCTGCAGGACGGGCTGCTCCTCCTTGGGCTCGATGATGGTGACCGAGTCGGGGAGAGTCTTCTGGGGGCCGGACTTGCCCTCCGGGTCGGAGCCGCGCATGATCTTGACCTTGATACCCAGGACACCCTGGCGCAGGAGAACGTGGCGGGTGGCGCTGTCGATGAACTCCTTGGCGGGCTGGCCGGAGTGGATCATGAAGCCGTCCTGGTGTGGTTGTTAGCCGATATCCTCTCCTCGAAACGTTTTTCCAAGTGCAAAATGAAGACGGGAGAATGGGAAAGAAACATAAATGAATTTCCCGTCCCCGATCATCTCGCTAGAATGGGTGCGTGCACGTACAGTGAACTTCATGGACTTGGCACGAGCAGCACGGAGCTTGCCCGACACAACAACCTCGCAACCCTTAGCACCGGACTCCATGATGAAACGGAGGACACCGTAGCAGGCACGGCGGACGGCGAGACCGTTCAGCAGCTTGTAGCGGAGGGACTCGCACTGAGCGACGGCGGACAGACCGCGGTTCTGGACCTTGGCGGCATAGAGGGAGACCGAGTTCTCGGGGAACTTGAAGCGCTTCTGGATGAGGGAGGTGAGCTCGCGAATGCGGCGGCCCTGCTCACCCAGAACCTCCTGCGTGTGGGTGGCGCGGACGACTAGAAGGAGCAAAGGTCAGTACTTGAAGGTTGAAATTTCGATTGCATCCGTATAAGTCGTTCCTCCCCCCAAAACCACACACAAATGCCAGTATTTTCCTCCTCTTTTTGTGCACCTGTACACCTGACGGAAAGAATGAACGTACTGATATCGGTGACGGTGGGAGTCACACGGACTTCGACACCGGAGTATCCCTCCTCAGCCAGCTCGCGCTGGAAGAACTCGTTCAGCTCGGCGTAGAAGACACCGTCGGCGACGAACTTCCGGCGCTTGGAAATAGCTCCCTGGACAGCGGCCATTTTTGCGGAATTCCTGGGTTGGTTGGGTGAGGAATTGGTGGGGGGTTGTCGACGGAGGGCGAGAGTTGAGCACACAAGTTTTGACGATTCTCGGTCAGTGGGGATTTTGGTTGCCGTTCGCTCTTGCCTGTTTGGGCTAGGGCTCAACCCTCGCTTGTCAATCTGATACCTGATAGATCGGGCGATAAGGCACTCAGGCATCAACGGATCAGTTAGGGCTTCGTTCTTGGCATAGAGAGATTGGTGCTTCCTGCTCTCGAGTAGTCCTCCTGGAGCTATACCCTGTATGTATTTTGCTGGATTCACACCATGATAGCTCGCGGCCTGTCTTGTCTCAACAATTTCATACCATGATCACCAGTACATGTAGTTTTAGGTACAGAGGTGCCTTTCTGAACCTTGGAGGAAAGACTCTTTCGCGTTACTTCGAACTATGCAACGCCCATCCACCCCAGAAGCGCCGTGTACTAACATACGTCTCGTCGTGAATATGTCCAGTCATGTAACCAACCCGGAAAAAACTAGTCAATTCCCCGCGTCTACTGCATCTCCACGCCCAACTCCTCATTCCCTTTATCTGCCGCCGCCGACTCCGACTCCTGCTTCTTTGGAAACGCCAAATTCGCAATCCCAGCGGTCACAGTCGCCATCCCTGACGAGGTAGCGGTGGGAACAGTAGACTTTCCCGGGGCTGCAGTGCCGACGGAGTGGTTGGCGGTCTCGATGCCTGTCACGACCGGGGCTCGTTTAGTAGCCGGGCTATCAGTAGGCCGGGGCCCGTTCATCTCTGAATCTTCGCGACCGAAGACCTCAGCCCACCATCTAGTCTCGTTGACTCGAGGGAATATAAGACGCTCCTTGCCGCGCTGGTGGTCATCGATCACTGGGTCATAGCGCGGGTTCGTAAACTGCTCGCGCCGACAGAGGAAATAGTCCCATACGCTGCGGGTTCGCTCGCTTGCTCTCGACTGGACGCGTTCCTTTTCGTTGTTGAATAGGAACGTGCCGTACTGGCAGGCGTAGAGCTGATAGAGCAGTCGCTTGAGGAAACGCTCGTTGAATTCGAAGCGCGTCGGATGTTGGTAGAGGAGCTGATATGTGGCATCCAGGAATTGGTGAAAAACCGGGCTAGTCTCCTTCGGCTTTGTGATCTCTTTCTCTGCGACGGTGCTCCGAGGTGAGGAGCTAACCTTTCGAGCCGCAGGACTGTCCGAGTCGTAACTTTGAAGCTCCCCATCGGAGTCGGCCAAGGAGTCGCGGCTGGTGTTGTCCCGGCCAAAGAAGCCCTTTGCGCTGAGGAATGCGTTCTCGAGGGCTTTGCCGGCACCGCCGCCTTCGCCGAACCCACGGTTAGCCTCTCCGCCGATGCGTTCGTTCTCGATCTGGAACCATTTCTCGCTGTTCAGGTGGCCCGATCGGTGTCTAAACATGTGACCAAACGAAAGCCAATCCTTCTCTACCAAGACCATAAATCCTTCAAACGTCCTATAGTACGGATCAAGACAGATTTGACTCAGGGCACTCAGCTGACTGGTCCGATCCCAACCGTCGGAGCAGTGAATCAAGACATGAGAGTGTTGCAGGCCCACCTGGCGAGCGATCAGTCCGGCTCCCTCCAAGATGCCAGCGATGTGCTTCAGCCAGCCGGTTCGGGCGAGCTGGTCGCGATTCGGTCCCAAAGGTGTCACGTCTGTTTCCTTTAAGCAGTCCACCACCTTATTCAACGAATCCCGCATGACATGAATGTTGTCGATCCCCAGGTAAGCTTTGGTGGCAAACTTATAGTTGTCCATGTTCTCGGAACCCAGGCCCACGGCCTGCATGGCAAAGGCATTGACTGTAGGCCGCGCATCAACAATCAAGTTGCTCTGCTGCGCTCCATAAATCGAAGACGATTCTTCCGAATCCCCACGAGCAGCAGCAATCATATCGTCTTCTATCTCTTCTGCATTTGTCAATTCTGGGTCTGTCGGTATCGTCTCCCCAATGCTCTGGCTGGAGTCCGACGCCTCTTTCTCCAGATTAGGCTGTATAAAGCTTGCCAACGGCCTCTCTGAGCGAGAAGTTGAGAAAATAGCAGCTAGCAGCTTCTCATCCTGGATGCTGCGGTTCTGACGCACCCCGACCAACGGCTGGGAGCTCCTTGTAATCGAGCAGTTATTGACCGGGTGGAGGTATGTGAGGGCTGGGATTCGGGCTCGCGATCGGTATCTTCCAGCATAGTTGAGTGTGTTATCCGAGATAGACGAAGGGACGGGTAGAAGGGCCGGATAGGTTGGAGAGAACTGGAGATCACTCGATCAGCAAACGACCAGCAGCTTAACAGAAGATCAACCCACCTCGTAATTCACATTTATTTCAGAGATGCGCCATCCCTGACCTTGGCCTTCCTTTCCAACACCTTGACGCACCCACTCCTTGCGCGGATCATACAACTGCCACCCGTTGAAGTCGGCTTCCGGCGGAACAGGTACGTAAGAGAAGGCGTAGAGCTTGTCCATGCGGCCCAGCTTGCAAGTCCATTGCTTGATGCTATCAAACACATCGCGGGCCTTGGTCTCGTTTGTAAAGTAGAAACAGCAGAAGTTGAAATCTCGACACCGCAGGCGGATGGAGGAGGGCTGGCGGGACGCAGCGGGAGCGGGACGCAGGGTGCAGAGGGCGATGATCGGGTAGGTGATCCAGAGCTCGCGGGGCTTTATGGGAACACCTTTGGCCTGGTCCTCGCTGGACACTGGGGGGAGGTACGAGAAGATAAGGTGGTGAGGAGTGAGATGCAGGGTGCCATCAACCTGCTCCCCATGCCGAGCCAAGGTCACATTGTCAACCTGAACAACACAGAGAGAGGATCAGTAAGCGATTAGTCGGGTTGTTTGCTGAGAATCCACTGCTATCGGTGCCTACCTTGGCCACCCGTGTTCTCTCCATGCCGCCGTGGATCACTGCGTGCACATGTGCTTCATTCTCGGTGGTGAAGGGGCAGCCGATGCGGATGGAATAGGTAAGATCAGAATAGTGAGCAGTGTGTGTATAAGGAGATGCTAATTGATCCGAGGTTCGGTGTGAAGGAAGGAGGGAGTGTGGAGGGAGGGACGAGGTGTTGTTGTCGGTGTTCGGAGGTGGTTGGATCGGTGGGGCAACGGGTTTGCGGAACCCTCCCGGGGTGACTACCGTAACTACTGAACGGCACGATAGTATACAGTTGTTAGATTAAATATAGTTACATGTTATTATTGTACAAATGCTGGGAGTTCATTCAAATATGCTCCTCCTCCTCTGCTGGCTGGGTCCGGTGGACTTCAAAGGCCATGTCACAGGCGGTGTTGTAGAACGAGTGGAAATCCCGATCAAGGGTCTCCTGAAGCACATCATCAGGTTCGGATGTGGGCTGCCTTTGCGGGATCTTCATTTCCACGAAGAGATCAGTTGCCTGAGCTGCAAGGAATGGTCCACCACCGTAGAAGCGGCTAGTTAACTGGCGGCCCTGGAAATCAAAGTGCTGAAGAGCAATGCTTTGCGTATCGTTGAATGGAGGAAGCATGTATTCGGCGGAGATGTGGTCCTCAGGATCATGGCCTCCCTGATCAGTCATCTCCTCAGAAATTTCTGGTTTAAGCAATTCACGCGGCAGCATGATATGACAGAATGGTGGTAGCACCACTGATTTCTTGCTAGTAATGGGGTTGAAGAGGCCCTGTAGCGACGTCTTGATGCTCTGCAACATCGCTTGGTGGCTCAGAAAGCCATAAGGGTTCTCGGAGCCTGCCAGAAGGTCACGGTAGACGTGACGAGTAAATCGAAGATCCAGACCGTTTTCAGGAAGCAAGTAGTCGACGCTATTATTCATGAGGATGGCTTTCACACTGCGGATTTCAAGATCGACTTCAGCCTGTTCCATATCCCCGGTAAGTTTGATATTCACATCAAATCCAATATCAAGTGGCGGCAAAGAATCGGCGCTCTTAGACGTCGGTGTCAAACGGATTCGATACGGCTCGTCACCTTCGCCGAGACCGATCGGAGACAATGTGTCAAGAAAAGATGCAGCGCGGGGTACTGCAGCCATAAAGGTGCGCGGAAGAGCCATTCGGCCGAGTTGGGAGGCATTGATGGGTGCTTCGGTGAGGGAAGGGGTTTTGCGCATAAAAAGACATTTCCCGACAGCTGCCGTTATCGATTCATGGATACTGGCCCCGCGCGTCGTGGGCACCGAAGAAAGCCGAAGAAGTTTTAGCAGCTCGTCAGACAATTGAGACTGGTGTTTGTCAAAGAACGGGGTCGCAAGCTTCTCGGCCTCCATGGCTTGAGCGGATGACAAGGCCCAACGAAACCATTGCTTCTGTCGATCGAACCACGACACATTGGCCTCGGGGTCGAAACTATAAGCGCTGGCCGGCTCTGAGGAGGGCAAATAGGTCGAGAAAGGTATTAATGTGGGTGCCGTAGCATTGATCGCAAGGTTCAATGTTCTCCGAGCATTATCTGCGCCCGATTTGTTCTCGGCCAGATAGATGATCTTTCTTGGGACGTTCAATTCGTGCTCCACGGCCACCTGGTAGGTCCGATTGACCCACTCCAGGAAGTCCTGTCTGAATAGGTTGCCAGCTTCCGCAACGTCATGACCCAAATCAACATCTTCATCACGAATTCGGGTAGTGACATCCAGAATGGTCTCGCGGATATGCTCACAAGCGCTTTGCTTGCCAACGACTCTCACCAGACCCAGGGATTGCGTAACATCGATGCTGGCATCATGGAGATTGGCCAGGTTGTCGAAAGAAAAGTGCTCTGCATTCAAAAGCAAACAAATAAATGGGGCCGGCAAGCGAATGTCCACCTGGCCAACCTCGTTGATCGTGGACATCTGCCAGCAGTCCCGAAGGATTCGTTCAGCTAAAAGAGCCTTCCCTTTCAGCTCCTTGGATGCCGCAATTCGATCGGAGGCACGATCGCCAGTTCTTGCTTCGGTGCTGATGAACACAGAGGTCCCGGGCTTCCATGCACTGGCCCACGCGTGTCGCGAACTGCCGTCATCTCCCGAGGCACGGGGTGCGTACTCTGCGAGGTATTCCAAAAGTTGTTTCCGCGTAAAGGACGACGACAGGTTTAACCGTATGTCTTTCCAATCGGGGACTGACACCTTCTGACCAACGTCGAACAACCCGCGACAGCCCTCAATTCGCTCCCTGACGGCACCATCGACAAGTGGCGAAGCTTCTTCTTCTAAATCGCCAAGTATGGAATGAAGCGTTGGTCTTTCCGTATCGTCATTCGCTGCCACCGGTGGAGGGTCGCGCTGGCGCTTCTTGCGGCGGCTGCGTTGCGGTACGACCACAACCTCCTTGTGTTCTCCAAGCACCTCCGTCTTGAGCGTAACGCGTTGACTTGGCGACGGTCGCTTCTGTCTTTGCGGGCGGCAGTTCCATCGGCGCTCGTAATTATCATGACGGTAGTGTGGTTGATCATCGTCCGCACTCGAAGTGCTCTGAAGCCGAGTAAAGACATCATGCCCGCAAGACGTCCGCAGCAGCGATCGGGGACACAACCGGGACTGGAATCCCAGGAGCCCTGATGCGCTGGTCGAAGGACGGCGAAGCATCGGGGTATTCGGGGTTTGCGCGGTCTTGGACAAGAAGTCGAGGCGGATCAACACTTTTTCTGCCGGAGATAAAGAACAGTGAATTGCCTCAGGCAGCACTCGCGCAAGGCTAACCCTAAACAGTCATCTTGTACTATTTCTCCAACTCTCCACGACTCCGAAATTCCTCGGGGCTTCGAAGCCGGACATTTCCACTTTTGCCCATGTCCGAACCCTTCAGGATGTATATAAAAGGTTCACGGAGGAAGGATATGGGTAATTCCATCTCAGCCATCATTCACCACTAACAGCTCTTGTCTCGATTGTCGAGTCCCGGAATCTCCAATTCATACAAACGCAATGTCGAAACCAAACTCTCCTCCCGCCCGACAGTGGGCTTTTGTAAGTCTACCGAAATAACTTGTATACATTGCAAATATGTCCATTCTCATAACCTAACAGGACGGCCGCGAAGTCGACCTGCTCCACTACATCTACTCCCGCCCCGACATCAAGCAGTTGCGCGGGAACCCCCAGAAGGTCCTGGCCGCCATTGATGATTACTGCCAAAAGTTCAACCCGCTCATCAACGTGGGCCCGACGAAAGGCCCGTTTGTCACCAATCTCATCGCCGAGCGCAAGCCGTCAGTCATGATCGAGCTGGGCGGATATATTGGCTACTCGGCCATTCTTTTTGGTGCAGCAGTGCGCGCAAATGGAGGCCAGCGATTCTTGAGCATTGAGAATAATCCCGAAATGGCGGCCGTCGCGAATCAACTCGTCGAGTTGGCGGGGCTGCGGGATACTGTACAGATCCTGGTGGGCTCAAGCAGTGACTGGCTGGTGGAGATTATTTCGGAACAGAAGGATATTCAGAGCGTAGAGATGCTGTTTCTGGACCACTGGCAGGATCTTTATTTGCCGGATTTATGGCTGCTGGAGCAGTTGGATGTCTTGGTGCCAGGTACCTCAGTCTTGCTCGCAGATAATGTGATCATGCCCGGGGCGCCAAAGTATCTGGAGTGGGTGAAGGCAACCCCCTCGCACAAGAAGAAATTGGTGGAGAAGTTGGGCGCAGGATCTCTTGTGCCGAAGCCGGAATTGGTGTATGACACGACAGTGCACGAGTTTGAGGCTGAGTTTGGCAAGGTATGTCTTGACATGAAGTTCTGCTGGGCAAGAAGGATTGCTAATGAGCGGATTATAGGATGGCATTGCAGTTACTGAGATCAAGGCATAAGAGTCTGTCTAGTTTATTACTTGGCCCCTCTTGTTGCAGCACCTTGTTCGTAATGACCATTAAATAATCAACTTTGAAATCATTTGCGCTTTTTTAAGTCCACATCCACACCGTCAGATTACGATATATGTCATCATGTATCACCCAGGGAATCTGCGTTTTATATTCAAGTTTCTCCCTACATTTGGTCCAGGACCTCACCGGCCTAGAATGAGGGATATTCATGGTGCTTGATAGAAACTCAGTTAGAGAGAGTTACGCATAAAAAAGTTCGGTGTAGCCCCGAGCTGAATCGATCCAGAGATACTTATGGGGACCAAGTGATGGGTTAGAAGAAGTCGCGAGCAGCATACGCACACACACACACACACACACACACACACACACACACACACACACACACACACATTCGGGGAGACTAGGTAGGAGATTCGATTTGACCTCTCTCAGCCAGAAATGAAGCTACTCGTTCGATGCAACTTCCCAACTCCGCAAATCCTCCCGCACATCAAACTCAGACAGCTCATTATTCGAGTTCCGAATTCTCCATCCGCGTCCCTTCGCGCCGTCATAAATCTGCTGCTCGATACTGCCTGCCATCTGCCCATGGCCCAGTGTGGAAAGAGACTCGGGAGTCTTGCCGCTGCTGTGGGAATGATTACTGGCACTCTTGGGCCGTTTCTCAAAACTCAAACTTGGTGATAATCTCTTGCCCGTGCGATTCTGCCGCTCAGCGGCCTCGGTGCTCAGGAAAGAGTCTGCGTGGTCATCTTCGACCGCAGCTCCGCGATTGGGGTTGTGAGCCTTGTTGTTCCAGCAAGAACTGCCAGCAAATAACTCTTCAACCAGTTTGTCCGCTGGCAGGTCACCAGCTCGAGAGGTCCATGATGCTGCCAACGTGCGTCGATACATGTCTTGCATATCCGCCACTTCGCGGCTTTGCACATTGATGGCTGGCAGCTGTCCCAGTTCGTCGTGGGCGTCCGGCTCCGAGGAGTGGACGACGCCGGCAATACCGCCAAAGACGGTGGCAGATTTCAACGCAGGGCTATCAACGGTTAGTACAGCCGGCATTTCTGGCACCTGCGCACATACGTAGTGAAGTTGCGATCGCCTTCCACTTGACGCATCGCTATCCCAATCTTGAGAGTACTATTGACCTTGCTTTCAAACATCAAGTACCGACGCACAACGCCCTCATCCTCTTCAACCTTGTCCACATATTCAGCTAGATTGAGCTTGATCTTGCCCAGTAGGTTCCTATCTGCGTGAGACGAGGATCCGAATTCCTGAATGACCTCAAAATGCAGCTCGCATTCCTGAAGCATGGAAGTTCGGTCAATGGTGAGGCGCACTTGAAGTGCTTTTTCGTAGTTCCAGTAGGCTTGGTGGTCGAGAAGTGTCGCTTTCTCTGTGGTTCCATGGTGCTCGGTTGCGCTGGATGATGGGAGGCGCCACCGTACGAAGACGACGCCCTTGCTCAGAGGGACATTGTTGATATCGATGATCTGGGAGTTATATTAGCTTGGACAATACATTTGAAGAGGCAATTTCCAGCTCTCACCCGCAGAACAAGGTCAAATCGGGGCTAATGTAAGATCACATGGTTTAGTCACTGATGATGCTTCATCCGGGAGCTCCGTGGACTGGCTTACCCTCCTGTTCTTGGGAACTGTGAGCAAAGCAAGTGTCAGCATATTGACAAAGAGCAGTTCATCTTTTGGAGAAGGAAAGGGTGCACGAGGTGTACTTTAAAACGTACCAAAGGCTTGCATGGTGGCTGAATCAAATGACCATATATGGAAGGGTCATGCAGTTTCGCAGTGCCATTCACGCCTTCTTGCCGACGTCTGGTCCCCAGGACCTGCCTAAGGGGGTCTGTCTGGTCTGCAACTGGGATCAAGAGACAAGTGACATCAATACTGGATGGTGTCGTCGAGCTCCGCCCGTGCTGTCCCGATAAGCTCGCCAGGGCGGTGAGCCACGCAAGAGAAGAAAGAAACATCAGAACCCAAGCTTTTCCTTCTTCCCTCTTCCCACTACTACCTTCGTGGTATCAACAGCCATCATGAACAAACAAGAGCCATCCCTTCCCTCACCACCATCTGAGACAGTCACGCCTGTGCCCCTCGACTCATCCATTCGCACGACCCCAATTCACCCCGACCTCTCCGAGATCCGCGTGCCAGGCGAGCCGTTGCCCTCATACCGCTACAATCCAGTGACATGCCAGCCTCTCGATGACGCGGAAATCCACCTTCAGCTCGAGCGACTGCGCCGCGAACACCCATCACAAGCCTCAGCTCTGAGGGCGCAGGAGCAAGCCGCGAAAGAAGCAAAGCAAAGAATCGAGAATGCCGAACGAAAGCGCGAACAAGTCCAAAAGGCTATGGACAAGAAGATCAAGGAACGCAACACCGAGATGAAGGTTCTTTCCAAGTATCAGGAGGTCAAGGCTTCTGATATTCCGTCGTGAAAAGACGCAACTACACGCCACCGCAACAATTCCGAAGCGCAGAGAATGAATCGCAACGACAATCAGACTTACAAACCTTCAGACTTACTGAGCGCCTACAACTCCTTGTTAGGAGTATCATGTCTATCCGAGCCTCACGCGCCAAGTCGCTGCCACGCCCTTAACTGGAACCCGCCAACCGATGTCTGTCTTGCCCCCCCAGATTTCCTCCGGCCAACCCTTCAATCCCGATGGAGGCTATGGAATTTGCGCCAAATTACAGGATATTGTCGACGTCAAGTTGCGTGAATCCCTTTCCGTGCCATCAACTGCAGGCTCGAAATCATCCTCTCGCCACGCCTCGCCTCGGAGATTCGGCCAGCAGCTACTCCCACGCAATCAGCTCATACTACGGAAAACGGAACACCGAGATGGTGCCTCCCACTAGGACCTTCGTGCACTAGCGAACAATTCATCGCCTGATTTCTCCTGTTCCTAGGCTGAAGTTAGATAGCACCACACGCATCTCTGTCTTGCAATCTCAGCAGCTTGGGAAACTTTTTTCCTCGGCATGTATTTTGCTAATGTAGCGATTAATGAACTACTTTCTTTACATCAATTCTACAAACGTGAGCCGCATAGAGATATCCACGGGTCAATATGACCTTTTAGCCATCTGTCTTCTATTCGGCTCATGTGTCGTGGATATCATTTCTCTCTGTTGACGAACCGGTCCGTCAACCTGTTTTCAATCTGGAGATGGACCGCAAAACTTGTGTCTACTAGTTACCCCCCAAGACTTCCAATCTACCGTCTGCCTTGTGCAGTTATCGATAGAAAGATAATCTCTCAACATACTCTAATCATTCACTCTTAACTATTATTCAAATAGCATGACCAGCCTGCGATCCGTTAAATCGTGGGATTAATGCCAGAAGTACAGCCAGGAGTCGTCGAGCAATCAGAATCAGATCTACATTCGACACCAGTATAGCACCACTGCGACTCATCCGAGCATCCCTTCCAGCAAAATTCCCACTCTCCACAAGCAGCAGTTTCATTGAGGCTGCACCTTTTCTCTATCAGACCCCTCTTCTCAAACATGGCTGCAGAGAGAACGGTAGTGGCATGGAGAAGCGCAGGCGAGAAGACCGACGTTAAACTTCATGGTTATAGTTGGGATTAAATTCTGCAGGAAGAAAGGAATCCATTAATTAGCAAAGAACATCTATAGCAAGAATAGTAGTGTGGCAGTACGGTTGAATATTGGTATGGCTGACTGGTGGCTTGGTCCCGATATATATCCCCGGGTTAGGTTCTGATACGCTGAAGGGCTTGCTTGGACTGGGTAGCTTTGAGAATGATTCCGAAGATAGACTTCAGGGAACTTCCTCGAGGTTTATGTATCCTGTTTTTACTGCCTACCAACTAAGGGTTATTTGGAGAGCTGCATCCTTACCCTTTGTCACCGCTGGGGCGTAAAGGTATGGGAGTAACTATTTATGAGACTGGGTCTGAAAGATTGAGATCCTTTCAAGTCAAAGCTTATTTGCATACTAGTCTTGAGCAAGCCGCCCTTGACGGTCCTGCTGGGGCGGTTTTCTTGCTAGCGGCGAGTACTCAGATTCCTATTCTTACTGAACAGCATGTATCTTCTAGAGGAGTGGAGTTAAGACGTCCGCGCCTTTTGAGCGATAAGAATTGGTAACTCCGCAATTTAAGCATTCAGTGATTGGCGGTGGCTGCAGCTCACAGTCTTTGGCTTAAACAGGATTTCGGACCCCCAATAGCTTGAAACTAGAAGCAACTGTGATGATGAGATATTATGTACTCGCCACAGATCTTCAGGGTCCGGTTCTATCTTCACAGCCTCACCCTATTTTTCACAACCTCGTCCTATTTCCCAAAGCTTTGCTTATTCACTCCAGCATCAGACGAAGTTTACCAGAATTCCTCACACCCAGAGGCATTTAACCCTTACAAAACAGTATTGCCAGCCAGAAAAATAATCTCAAATGATTTTAAACCACCCCCAAAACTGACGTGCATCCCCGATCGACGTTGCTATTGTTGGTAGAGTCGCCACGACACGCGGCCACTGGCGGGCACTACACAAGGTGACAGCAGATGGCGGCCTGTAAAAAGTTTGGACCCTGGACGCAAGATCTCCGCTTGTACACATATCGCAAAGCGTCCTCTAAAATTAATCGTCATGTTCTCGCGAGGGCCGAGGTCGAAAAGGGGCGAAGACGTCAAAAGGCTCGCTTATATCCTTTCGATCCCCTAGCGTACGCTATAGACGGGCAAATAGATTAAATTGAGACATTTGGTGAGATTCCTTAATATATTACAATTGCCCCTTCATGTGAAGAAGATTTTCCGAGGTCTTCTTGCGCTGCTATAGATCTCAAGGCGGTCATGTGACCTATCAAACCCTGATTGGCCAAGGGATTCACTTTCCTCCTGCCTGCCCAACGAGGAAGGATCTTCCAATGCCGTCTGTGCCTCGAGGCCTCTGCTCTCGGAGGATTTCCGGATATACGCCAATTCCTGTTTGCAAATCCCTCTAGACTACGGAGGAGTCCGTCCATCCTCGCACGCACGTCAGCCTCATTTTACTTTTTATGTTCTTCTTCACGACTTCTGTCATAGTTCCCCTTTTCCCCTGCTTAGTGGCATCGTGGCGTCACTATTGACCGAACTACTCTCAAGCAGGGACAGAATAGCCGACCACACCGACCCTTTGTTGTGGTTGCAGCGAATGTGGTGCACCGCCTCAATGATAATGTGGATATTACCCACTTCCAAGGTTGCAGGAGCGGGGGGTTGCCAAGCGGGTACGATGATGTACGAGCCAGAACCTTCGGCCTCTCATCCGAGACAGTAAGTTGTGACCGGCGCGATTGATTCGCACTGTCTCCGGAGATGGGCACGCAAAATTTCCGCTAACGCTCTAGCGGTGATTAAGCCCGGGCTACTAGTCTCCCGAGCCACGTACGTAGGCGAATGATGTACAGCCAAGAAATGGTAGACTCGATCGACTAGCAACAGGATCTCTGCCAATGAAAGCCGACTATCTCCAACCGTGATATCAAGTCTAAGATAATTGTATCCCGGGGACCTCCGGGGGAAATGTTGGGGGATGCGGTGAATTCTTGCGGAGTCACTTTTCCGGGGGAGGCTTACCCCGAATGAGAACCTCTCCGTCCCTTGACAAGGATTACAGTCACGAGCCCGCATTTATGGAGCCTCTGATATCAACGGCTGGAGAAAAAAAGGCGCGCTATACTGGAACATGGCTGCAGCACCCCGCCTGTGGCCCACTCATGGTGTTGTCCGGTTGGCTGGTCCATTACAGTCTGGACGCCAACCTTGGCTCCGCTCCCCGTGTGTGGAACCGGTCCAAGCCCAAGATATCCAACCCCAGCGCATTTGCGTCCGCATACACCCCAGATCGAGGTCATCATTGAGTTGAGCCATGGCCCAATTTACGAACGGAGAACATGTGCCTGCGCTTCCCAGCCGAGGGAGAGGAGGTCAGTGGCTTGCCCTGACTCGAGCCTAGTTTTGACCCATGGATGGTACTCAGGCACAGGGTAACTCTGGGGTCCGGGGAACTGGATCACAGCTCGCATAAGGGTCTATTTTCTTGTCACATGGCAGGAACCGACCATTTTTCCTCGGTTGAAACTAGCTTTTGAGAGCTAATGCGGTTGGGTAATTTCCGCCGCACAGCACATATATCGTCAATGGCGCACCCGCGCTACTAAGCTCGCTCGCTTTATTTTGGTTTCCCATCCTGCCCCGGCCTCCAGCTTTTTTACTCTCAGGACAGGATCGAGGAACCGAGATCGGTCAATTTGTCTCTGGGCAAAGCAAGGTGCACGACAACAGAGTAAGCCTCGCGCATTAAACCAACACCATGCGCTTCTTTCCGGTTATCACTACTGCGCTCCTGGTCGCGACCGGAGTGGCCGGTGCACCTCCTACGTCTTCTGCAGGTCCGGTTGTTGCGAATCAAGACAATGTTCCCGCCGCTGCTGCCACCAATGCTGAGTCAGACGTATCGAATGCCGCTGCTGCTGCTGCTGCCGCCGCCGCTACGACTACGTCTAAGCCCGAAGGCGCGAAAGTACCGGATACAAATACCGACCAGAACACAGCCACGGTTCAGAATAATAATGCCCCTGTGGTCGGCGCCAATCCTGTAACTGTGCCAGCGCCTTCGGTTCCGGGGAATACTCAAACTTCGACAAGTAAGGCTGCCGCCCCAGCCCCATCTTCCGATGCTTCATCTGGCTCGAGCTCTTCATCATCAGCCAGCACCGAGTCTATTGGTTCCGATATATCTTCCGCCCTTGGCAACCTGCTCGGTCTCGGATCAGGTAATGGCGACCCTCTCGGCGGTCTCGGAGAGCTTCTTCAGGGTCTGGAGAACTTGTTAAATCCCGATTTCCTGGCGGAGGTCACAGATACCTTCAAGTATCTGTCTACTTCGCTGGCTCCCCCTGTCGACACGACGCTACGTACTCTCGTCGCCAATGCCAACAATTTGTTGACGGCCTCGTTTGTCCAAAAGACAGAGACTCTTATCGACAATGCCAACAATTTGTTGACGGCCTCTTTTGTCCAAAAGACAGAGACTCTTATCGACAATGCCAACACCCTGCTCACCTCGTCATTCATATCTAAGACAGAGACTTTGATTGACAACGCCAATCTCTTGCTTACCAAGGGATTCGTGACCAAGACCGACAATTTGATCGACAGTGCCAGTAGTTTGCTCACTCCGGCGGTTGTCAAGGACCTCAAGTCTTTGCTCGATCAAATCACTCCTCTGCTACCCGAGCTCAAGGGCCTGCTCACCCCTGCAACGATCAAGACCTTGCAGAATCTTTTGACGAACGCCAGCAGCCTGTTGACCGCTCAATTTGTCAAGGAGACCGACCATCTGGTCACTGAGGCCAACTCTTTGTTGAGCGCGAACGTTGTTCAGGATCTGAAGGATCTGTTGAACCAGATTGCTCCTCTGCTGCCCGAACTCAAGGGTCTCCTGAAACCGGCGACTCTTAAGGAATTGCAGAACCTGTTGACGAACGCCAATGACTTGTTGACGCCAGCCAGCGTTAATATGATTGGCAACCTCCTGTCCAATGCCAACAGCCTGCTGACACCTTCCTTGGTGAAGGGCCTGAAGGGTCTCCTCGGTGATGTCGAGCCTCTCCTGCCTGAACTCAAGATGCTGCTCAAGCCGGCGACGATTTCCTCCATCGCCAACCTCTTGACCAATGCCAACAGCTTGCTCTCGACCGCCAATGTGCACGAGATTGAGAGCTTGCTGTCCAACGCCGGCAGTCTCCTGACAGCTTCGAATACGAAGGAAATCGAGAACTTGCTCTCCAACGCCAACGGCTTGCTCACGCCTTCCTTCATCCACGAGACAAGCAGCCTCATCAGCGATGCAAGCGGCCTTCTTACACCTGCCCTGGTCAAGGGCTTGAAACAGATTCTGGCAGACGTGATCCCGTTGCTGCCCGAGCTGAAGTCGTTGCTTACTCCAGGAACGATTTCTGGCATTGCAAACCTCTTGACAAACGCCAACTCCTTGTTGACTAAGTCTAATGTCAAGGAGATTGAGTCTTTGCTGTCCAACGCTGCTGGTCTGCTTAATGATGTGCTGCCGGTCATGCCCGAGCTGAAGAAGTCGGTTCTCCGGCCAGCTGTCATCGAGGATCTTGGTTATTTGGTCACCAATGCCACCAATCTGCTCAAGCCCAAGTTCGTCAACGAAACGCGTGGCCTCATTGGTGATGTTGCACCATACATCACGCCTGACCTTTTGGTCGAGGTGGGCGATTTGTTGGGCAACGCCAACGACCTATTGTCGAAGAAATTCGTCAACGAGACATCGACTCTCATCGAGGACGTTTCTGACGTAAGTCACTTTTTCTATCAATAATCCCTCCAATATTTGCTGACACCGCTTTATAGTTGATGCCGATACTCATGAACCTGTTGGGTAATATGTAAGGTTGGGTTTTGAATGTGCTCCCAGCCAGTTACGATTCATAAGGCTTTATGGGTCTTTTATGTTGTTGTGGATGTATTTACGAATACGACTTTAATGTGCTTGGATGATAATCTATGAAAGTCCTATATTTGAGACCGTATACTCTCCCTCCACCGTATCGTAGTATGGGATCAGTTTCCCGAAAAAAAAAATTTTTTCTTTTTTTTTTTTTTTTCTATCGAATACCTATTCCTTTTCCATGCCAATAATGGGGTTTTTGAATCTTATCAATAACTTGTCCTTCCTCTCAAGTGTTTAGTGTGGTGAAGACTTCGTCCTGTCCCTTCCTATCAATGCCAAGACAATGCTTACTGTTGGACCGGAGTTGCGGCCAAATTCCATGCACCGAAATCCGTTCCAGGCGCCAACCACCCTTCAATCCAGTTCCAACTCCGTCGCATTTCAAACTTCCCGAACTCCTTGTACCGCTGATCTATGTCTTGGAGTGTCCTTACTACTGTTCTACTCTCAGATCTCCCCTTTCCCCTTCACCCAGTGCCACAGATTAAACCCGAATCCCAACGGAGTTTTCACACTATGGAGTCTAGCAGACTCGACAACACCGGAATTCCTGCGCCTTACGGTCGGGCGTGCGTAAACTGCTCCCGTGCAAAGTGCAAATGCATACTTCTCGCCAGTGGGACTGATTGCGAAAGGTCAGTCGTTTGCTGCCAGCGAATCGCATATGCAAATTCGCTTTATTCGCCGGCATGGAAGAAATGACATTTCCAAATTCATAAGACTAACTTGTTTTAGATGCCACCGCCTGAGTAAGGAATGTCGGCCATCACAGCCAGTCCGAAAGCGCACTAGCAGGCGCTCCGAGGCTTCTAGAACTGCACAGCTCGAAGCCAAGCTTGACAGCCTCGTTTCTATGCTCCAATCGGGTCATGTTAAATCCAAATCCGTGGCGAATCTGCACACTGGAGATTCGAGAGACGCGCCCTTGTCAGACGAAGCCAGGATCTCGGCACACGGCTTCTCTCCCCTCTATGGAGAGCAAGGAATTCTCTCTCCGTCAACAACAGAATCAGCACATGCTCAACCATCCCCATGGGGAGATTTCTCTTCATCTGTTTCTCCAGAAGAGGAGGAGCAATTCTTTAATGATTTCCGCTCGAAAAGCATGGAATACCTTCCCATAGCTTACATTCCTCCTCACGTTACCTCATCTCAATTTCGCCAAGAAAAGCCGTTTTTCTGGTTTTGTATAATGGCAGTATCAACAAGAGACCTGGAGAAACGTGACGCGCTTCTAAACAAAGTAAACTACTTTATTTACCAAAAGATCATCCTTGGCGTTGAGTCAAGCTTGGATTTGCTTCTTGGTTTAATGACCTATACCTCGTGGTAAGTATAAGCAAAAGAGCACTCTGTTTACAACCATTGTTTTAACAAAGACCGTCAGGACCATATTGTCGAAAAAGCCGTTTATGAATTTTGTCGGCCACATGATAATGGGTCTAGTATGCGAGCTTGGAATCAACAAAGATGTTCCAAAAGAGCAATCAGCATTGCATACCTTCAAGTGTTCTATCGGTTGGAAGGTACCAGCACCTGCCCTCCGAACTATGGAAGAGCGTAGGGCTGTGCTCGGTGCCTTCCTGATAACCTCAAGGTACTGGGCCATCTCTAAGTGCCTTTATATCAATTGTGAGCTTAGCTAATACTTTCCCATAGTATTGCAGTGGCTTTGCTGAAGATAGACGCTCTTCGATGGACACCACATATGGAAGAGAATCTTTGTCTTTTGGAGCAGGAGAAAGAAAGCCCGCAGGATGAGCTTTTGGTCACTCTGGTACGAATCCAGCTGGTGGCTGATAAGGCTTATAATCTGCAACGTGATGAGGAGAGAAATTCTGCTCCAACAGCCTTCTATGTCAATAGTCTCCAGTCACAGCTGAATACGGTAAAACGGCAGATTACGCCCCAGCTACAACAGCACCGTGGGTTTCCCAGTCCTTAGCAGCGCTCTCATTATTAATGACTTGTCTAGTAAACGTCCTTTTGAATCTTTCTCACACGGAGATCATAATCAATGAGGCATCTATCTCCAGGTTTCCGGTTCTCTCGAATGGCCCAGATCTGCATCGCATTGAGAGCCTCTATACTTGTCTCCGGGCAGCCCAAACCTGGATAGACGTCTGGCTCAGTATACCACCTGAGGACTACGTATCGTGCTCATTTTTAATGTTCTTCCAATTCTCCCGCGCCCTGGTCAACTTATACAGAATCTCCACCTTGGAGGATCCTCCATGGGACAAGGGCGCAGTACGGGAAACTGCAAATCTGTTGGAAATTATCGATCGTCTAATTGACCAGACTCAAAAGGCTGCGCATCACCTCTGCCCGAATACGCCTAGTCAGGATTATGGAATGACTCTGTTTGGTAGAGGAGTGAGAATGGTTCAATCTTTGAGACAGGCCTGGGCGGCAAAGCTGACAGAGGAAAATCCGGGGCTGCCAGAAATGCCTGTTAGTGACTGTGTGAATGACGGTGAGATTGGACTAGCTGGCTCTAGTCTGCCGGATATCTTACCGTTGGACGGTTTCGACGATGCTTGGATGATGGAATTTTTGGCTGCAATGTGAAATTTTTATTGGAGTTAATGTCACAGACCTTAAGCGGACATAAAACGCACGGGGTTAATAGACGAGCCGCTGTTTTTGCTATACCGCAGATGTATGTCAATGCAGTTGCGATTTGCCTAATCTGTTTTATTTTGTATGATAGTCGTAATGGGAATTGAGATGATCGATTTGAGTGGTTTATTCTCCCTTCTTAGAGATTGTTTTGTATGGTTAATTCTTCGGGTAGGCTTTTGTTTATTGCATATTCGGGGTGTTGTTTGTCTTCCTCGACATGCCTTCTAGGTTCTGCCTTGTCTTGAATTCCTTTTGCCAAGCTGTATTTATAAACGTGCTCTAAATATATGTTCCTTTTTGTTGTGAAGTTGAGTCGTATGACTAACTATTTGAGAGACAGTGAGACCATCAATGTCACCATGCAGTGGTCGTCGCATCGGGGGCTTTTTTTGTCCGTCACCACAGGTTACCTCCGCTAGTGCAAGTCTAGGCGACGCAGCGTGCCCACATTATTCGCTCATAGATTATTCCCAAGCAGCACAGCTCGCAAGGCTGGTCTGCCAAATAATACTAGGCTTGAATCTGAGACCTGATTTTTCGCGACGTGGAATGCCTGATGGGATGTCTCAGATGATTCTATCGGTCAGCTCCTCCCGGCACCAAAAAAAGCACCCGATGCCTAGTTCGGAGCGATCTGCACCCTCTAAGACCAAGGCAGACGGAGGTTTTTCATCGTGATGGCATAGCAAACCGAGAAACAGAGGTGCTTTTGGCAAGTATTGTATCGATTTTATTTCAAGGCCTGGCGGCTGGCGGTGTATGTAGAGAGCAAGCACTGTTTGTGCTTTGTGGTGGTGATGTCAGTAAACTGCAGGACCACCCCAGGCCTAAGTGACGAATTGAATCGCTGAGCAGGGTCGCCGATTACCCCAAGCCTTTTGACTTCGGCCGCCGCTTTTTAGTCACATTGCTTCATAGGGATGGATGCCTTACCTTCCGGGATGAGGGATAGCGCTGTGAGCTGTGATCATCAGCAGACACAGCCCCAGCTGCAAGAGAACCTGTTGGAAGCGCTCAGCAGCGAAGAAATAATTGGGTCAGAAGCCGAATTCCAAAAGTATAAGAAGAGCCTCCTTCATCGCCTAGATTTTATCATGCTCATAATCAATCCTACTTTCTCAAGAAGCAATCCTCGTCTTCGTTTCCAATTCAATACTCGCCGCCACCAAAATGCGTTTCCTCGCAACTGTCGCTTTCTTCGCCGCCGCCGGCCTGACTCATGCCACTCACTTCAAGCTGAAGACCACCGGTGCTGCCAACAATGCTCACAATAATCTCTATGTCTACACTTACCACACCGGTGCCGGATTTAATGATGCTGTTCTTGACAGCAAAGAGAGCGGCGCCCCCTGGGTTCATCTGAATGAGACGAGAGTCAGTTTTGAGCTCGGTGATCACACGCCGTGGAATATGGATGTTGGTGGAGACACCAACTACGCCTGTATGTCTCCATCATTGATCATTATCAAGAAACGATATGGCTGACATGATATCTGAATAGCGTGGGAACTTGTGACTGTCAACGCCGGTGAGGGCAGTGATGGTTTCTCGATCAACGAGAATGGTCTTGTTTTGCCGAAGAAGTCGGGCTTTGGCGGTTGGCTTGGTGAGTGTACTTCTTTTTCTGCCTAAACACTGTTGGCTAATGTCTTCGATCTTTAGTCTGTGAGTGGTATCACAACGGGCCACAGCTCTTCTGGATCAACGGCGACTACAGTTACACGATTCCCTGCAGCTGCAGCAAGGTTAAGCTTGAGCCTATCTATCCCGCCTAAAGTATTGATGCTTGCAATGATGCGTGAATGAGTATCTTCCGCCTAATTTTTAATGATCGAATTTCATAACCCTGTGTGGAATAACCTCACTTCTTTCCCATTCTATCAATATTTAATATAATCCTACATCCATGTTTTCCACAACTGCCTATACTTCGGCCTCGTCAATCTAATGGGTTCTCGTTTCTATCTTTTATAATTTTAAAGACCAGAACTGGCCAATGATAGCACTGACTTGCTCTGAACATGTGACAGGGAGTTCATGGCCACAGCTAAGCACCTCGAATCTCACATTCTCCTCCCCAAGCACAGCAATAGCATCCTCTCGCAGTTCATCGGCAAGAATAATCGGGTCGCTTTCGCCAGCCAAGATCAAAACCTTGGGTTTCTGACCGGCCTTTGGAATATGACGCCACATCTCGTGCTGTGCAACATTAGGTGCATGGCGAATCGACGATATAAATGAAGGTATAAATCCCGGATGCGTCATGAGCTGCCAATTTACGGCTCCCGCGACGCTGACGTGCGGGTATGCAGCAATCAATGGGCCTTCGTCTGGGGCGTTTTCCTTGGGAAGTTCTTCGGTTGTTGCATTTAGGATATTGAAGGAGATTCCAGACTTGGAGTTCTGGGCCTGGTAATTGGTTCCGGTTGTAGCTTTACCGCCTCCCAGACTACGCTTTACGAACCATTTGAGCAGCGCTTCTGGGAAAAAAGGTGACGAGTACATGAGTCTCATTGTCCACCCGCGTCGTTCGGGTCGGATCAGGCCGGCGGGTGTCATTAAAGTCACGCTGCGGATCATATGCGGAAAGTTGGCCGCAAAGTTGGATGCGATACCACCACCGAGAGAATATCCCATGATATCAAATCCGTGGGCTGGTCCTCCAGAACCAGTCCAAGAGACCGGAGAAGAGGTCAGGGCGAGGAGGATCTGAGAGGTGTATAGTCGCGCGTCGTAGTCAAGGTCACCAGGTGCATCGGAATACCCCCGGCCCCACAGATCCATGAGGAGTACACGGCAACCATGTTCGTTGACAAGCCTTTGGGCCAATGGATACAAAGCCAGCGAAGGAGTCGAGATACCATGGACTAGGAGGACAAAGCGTCCATTGGTAGGGCCCCTAAAGGTAAATTCGCAGGTAAGCTGTAAGTTTGAGGACCAAATCTTAAGGCAAATCTTATCAGATCGACAGTAGACTTCGAAGAAGTATACCATCAGGAAACATCTATTAAGAATATTCGACAAGTTTTATATCCTTGACGGATTGACTCATGTAACCTACCATTCATAACATCGGAATGTTCCATACGGACTAGATACGTCTCGGGCTCCCGGTAAGGCATCGGGTGGGTATGGCAATCCGGCCTTATCCGAGTCTGTGAGGCTCGGCAACACAGACTTCAGCGGCGAAGGGATAAGTTTGGGCGGGCTGCCGCGTGTGGATAGATGGCCCAAAAGAAGGACTGCGAGTCCCGCTGTCAGAGGGAGAGTATAGGCTGACTGAAGTAAATTGGAGACCATGGCGAGAATGGACCTGGTAGGGTGAAGAGGTCAAGGGAGAGAGGTACAGTAATTTGGGCTGTCGGTAATATAAGTATAGCAAGTGGCCCACTATTACCTCGCTAACCTCAACCAAACTAACCCTACCGAAGTCCTGGTCGGCTTTGCCTTCTTGTCAATTACCGCAGTTGGAATTAATCGGTGCTAGAGTATCCCCCGCATACATCGGAGGCGTACAGAGCAGTTCGGTACATTACATACAAGAATGGTCACAATTGGCCGTCTCTAGCCCCAATCTCGCCCTTATCTTCCTTTGCCCTGAAACATTCCCTCATTGGGGATTTTCTTCCCGTTCTGCTCTAGCAAAGTTTCGTCGGAGAACTCAATGGAACGCCAAGTACCTCGGCTAATATTTCATCCTAAAAGAACGGCCGCAGGGAAGGAAAGCACTGCCTTTTATGGGAGCATATATGTATTCAGACCATGATCTATCTATTCTCCGACCTGTCTTCTCCAATTTTCTTCTGCGCTTATGTCACGAAGTCGTGTATTTTCGTAACTGGAGTCTGTGCCCTAATAGATTTCCCCTTTGGAACGCTAGCCGCATACAGGTCCCATACGCGAAATTGCGGGGAGGGAAATTCCAAGCAAATTTTTCGTTCGGACCGTGCCCTGCTCAATAGGATAAATACCCCCGGTCAGCGGCGGACTTTTTTTCGGCACTTACCGCCTCTGTTTCGCAAGTGATCTTGTGCTCTTCCAACTCATACTTTTTTGTCTGCACTACTCAAGCAGCTAGCCCGAAGGGCTACCACAAACACCTCTTGCAGCCAAACAAACTCGGGCCACCATGGACGAAAAATACGGCCCGGAGCCGACCGACGACCAGATGCTGGCTCGGTTGGGCAAGAAACAGGTCCTGAAGCGACGATTCGGGGTCGTCTCGATCTTCGGATTCGCCATCGCTGAGCTCATCACATGGGAAACCGTACTCGTCCTGTTCGAACAATCCTATTACAATGGCGGTCCCAGCGGCGCGTTCTACGGCTACATCATCTCCTCGCTCTCTACGTTGTCGGTCTATATAGTCATCTCGGAGCTGGCGTCCATGGCGCCGATTGCCGGCGGCCAGTATTACTGGGTCTACATGATGGCTCCCCTGCGCTGGAAGAAAATCTCAAGCTACCTCATCGGGTGGCTGACCTCCCTGGCCTGGATCGCAACTATCGCAACCGAGTCCATATTCCTTGGCACGATCATCGAAGGCCTAATCAAGCTGGAACAGCCTCACTTTGAGGTGCAGCGATGGCACAACACGCTATGGTCTTGGGCCATGGTGGCGATTGCCATCTTTATCAACATCATCATCCCCAATACGTTGCCCAAGTTTGAAATCACCATCCTGGTCCTACACTTGGCTGGCTTCGTCGCCATCACGGCTGTACTTCTTGCGCTATCACCGAAAGCTTCTCCTGAATTCGTGTTCCACACGGTGGCAAATGGCGGTAACTGGCCCAGTCAAGGCATTTCCTACTGCATTGGATTCATTGGGAATGTCGCTACCTTTGTTGGCGCCGACGCAAGCATCCACATGGCAGAGGAAATCGAAAACGCAGCAGTCAATCTTCCCCGTGCCATCGTTGGTGGCATGAGTATGAACTCTCTCCTCGGATTTTCCATGATGCTCACGATTCTCTTCTGTCTGGGGCCCGACGCGAAGACGGTGAATTCGATTTTGGGATCAGATACTGGTTTCCCATTCATCCAGTTGTTCTACAACTCAACACAATCTTACGCAGGAGCAGCAGTTATGACATCCATCGGCATCGTTCTCACCATGGCATGCTCGGTTGGCATTACTACAACAGCATCTCGTATGACCTGGTCCTTCGCCCGCGACTACGGACTGCCCTTTTCCCGCTTTATTATGAAAGTCAGCAACCGCAACAAAGTCCCTGTTGTGGCCGTCTTCGTAGTCTGTGCCTGTGCCTGTGCCCTGACGCTCATCTACATCGGCTCTACTACGGCATTCAACGACGTCATTTCCCTCACAGTCACCGCATTCTATGGCTCCTATCTTCTCCCAAGCGCGATGCTCCTGTACCACCGAGTCAAAGGAAATGTTCTCCCGCACGGAACCCTCCTCCAGGGCCAGGGTATCGACGACCCAAATAGTCTAGCTACTATCGCCAAGGCGACCGATCCAAAGAACACTGCCCATACCCCTATCTCCGATACCATTGAGATCCATCCGATTGCAGCTGCTCAAGACGGTCTCGGTGCCAACACCACCATCCCGGAGAAAAGTTCTGCCCGCCCCATCGAGTTCAACGTAGCGGAAGCGCCTCTAATCTGGGGGCCCTGGAAAATTCCAGGCATCTTGGGAACTCTAAACAATCTCTATGCTTGCCTCTACATGATCTTCGTGATCTTCTGGAGCACATGGCCCCCCGCAACGCCAGTTAACTACACAACTATGAATTATAGTATTGTCGTTACCGTTGGTGTCCTCATCGTGAGTGGCGTCTGGTATGTTGTACGCGGCAGGACGGAATATAAAGGTCCGCTCATCGACGACGAGGTTGCGGCCATCATGCACATTGCCGTATAGTGACGGGTATAACTGGTGCGGGCGATGGAGTTGGATTGGTTGTCGAAGACACATCCAGGCCGACTTTGTGACCTTTTTTTAACACAAACATGTATTTATGTCTTAAAGAGAAATGTAACAAATACCCTCAGCGCGCAGATCTCTATATATCGTGCAACTAAATGCAGAGAAGCTAAATATTCTGACCAAAGACGAGAGCCTTCCTTCAGGTGGGTCGGACCAATACAGCCTCACCTGCCTAGGATACCCAGGACAAAACAGCTACTCGCCCCCAAGCCGGACCAATAGGCGACGCGTCTAGCTATTGGTCCTACTTGGGGGCGAGTATCTAGCTTCCTTTTATAAATTTTTTAAGAGAGGGGATGGATGCGGTTAAAGGACCGGGATTCGGGATTCGGGAGCGGGATTCACAACTTCCGGCCACTAAGATTCGTAGTTTGTTATAAGCAGCATTCAGGATTGTTTTCAGTCTTGCAGAATTATTTCCATTCAAGCCGGTGTGAAAGAATTTTGTCAACTACATCCAGTTTCTCTCCTCCTGAAACTAAGTGCTATACTCTACGGCTTCCCAAAATGGAAGAGAAGCCGCCAAATAGTGCAGAACCTTGGAGTTCTGATGAGCAATATGCTTCTGTCACTCAAAACCCAACCAAGGACGATTCATCCTCCACATTATCAGCGACAAACCCCGCGTTAGATTCCACAAACTCAGATGCAAAGACGGAGCCTACCAAAGATGGAGAAAGAGAGCACATTGCCGGTTTCAAACTATTCATGGTAATCGCAGCAGTCACTCTGGTCTGCTTTCTAGTCATGCTTGATACTTCCATCATTGTGACCGTAAGTCCTGGATTCCATGTTCATCAGAACAGGTTTCTGACACTACCACCACCAGGCCATCCCCAAAATCACAACTCAGTTTCACTCCCTTCAAGACATAGGATGGTATGGTAGTGCGTACCAGATTGCCAGGTAAGAGCCGTTCGAATATTCTAGCTGCTTGGTTTTGCCTAATACACCATGCAGTGCTTCTCTACAACCTCTTACCGGAAGAATCTACACCAACTTCAGCACGAAGGTATTTGATTCTGATATTTCCTCGGTGTGCTCGAAAATACTGATATAGTTCCTGAGTAGTGGACTTATCTGTCGTTTTTTCTAATCTTTGAGTTGGGCTCACTCTTATGTGCCATCTCTACCTCATCAAAAATGTTGATTGTCGCTCGAGCCGTGGCGGGTTTGGGTTCGTCGGGATTGCTGAATGGCTCTATGACCATCATTGCATCTTCGGTCCCAATGTACAAATCACCAGGTATGGAAATTTGATTTGCAATCTGGGGTCAGCTTTTGCTAACATCTCTATACAGCTTTGATTGGGATCATGATGGGTTGTAAGTACTCCTTCGTCGCTCATTCCAAGCCAAGTAATTCATTATTGACTTCACGTACCAGTCGCACAGATGGGAATCGTCCTCGGGCCCGTACTAGGCGGTGCATTCACGGAATATTCCACTTGGAGATGGTGTAAGTAGCAAATATGCCTCCTGCTGGGAATAGAAACTAACCACGCCCCAAGGCTTTTACCTCAATCTTCCGGTTGGAGCTGTTGCAGCATTGTTGCTCCTCGTCGTCCAAATTCCCGACCAGGTTGAAAAGCCTTCAGTTTCACTAATCAAGGAAACCGTCCTCCATAAGCTTGATCTTATTGGCTTTGTTCTCTTTGCTCCAGCGGCCGTTCAATTGCTGCTGGCCCTCCAATACGGAGGCAACAAGTTCGCCTGGAATAGCTCCACTGTAATTGGACTGTTTTGTGGTTCAGGCGCTACATTTATCGTCTTCTTGCTCTGGGAACATCGCCAGAAAGAACGTGCCATGATTCCGCTGGCCATGCTCAGGCTGCGACCTGTCTGGTCCAGTTGCTTAACGATAGCCTGTGTTATGGCCCTCGTGCTCTGCAACTCCTACTATCTTCCGGTTTACTTCCAGGCTGTCAAGAATGTTTCGCCTATTCTCAGCGGTGTCTACATGTTGCCTGGTATTCTGACTCAGTTGGTGTTTGCAGTAATGTCAGGGTTGCTGAGTATGTCAATTTTCCTTTGTTTTGGGTTACTTGAACTGACAATATTGCAGTTGGCAAGCTCGGTTATTATCTCCCATGGGCTGTCTTCTGTGGAGTCGCTACAGCCATCGGTAATGGCCTGTTGTCTACGTTCAAACCTGATACATCGACTGCCAAGTGGGTTGGATATCAAATCCTCTTAGGTGCCGGTCGAGGATCAGGATTTCAGACGGTGAGATTACCCCAAGTTATGTAGACAATCAGCTAATGTATTTTTGTTCCAAAGCCGATGGTGGCAGTCCAAAACACTCTTCCACCTGCACAAGTCTCCGTCGCCATGTCTGTCCTGATATTTTCGCAAACCTTATCCGGCGCGGTGTTTCTCACTTTTGCAGACGTGATCTTCGATAACGGCTTGAGAACTCTGGTTCCGCAGTACGCACCGTCGGTTGATCCTGAAGCTCTAATTGCCGCTGGAGCTTCTGGCATTCGAAATGTGGTCGCTGGCGATAACCTTGCCGGGGTGCTGAAGGCTTATTGTGCGAGCATAGATCATGTTTTCTACATGGCTGCTGCACTTGGTGTGGGTATCTTTGCATCCTCTTGGGGGATGGGATGGAAGGATGTTCGGAAAAAGAAGCCTACGGGCGACAAGGTGTAACTGTGGATGGAAACTGCCGCAATTGTATTAGAACTGTGGGTTGACATTGTTGGATATAATTAGACCTAGCCGGGCATAGGTAAAGGGTGTCGGGCCTGGTTCACGCTATAGAAAATAACATCTCAGCTCGCTTTATTGTAGTGCATACGGAGTGGACGGACTGTACTCGGCAATCAAGTTACTCATAGATGAAGATCTCTACACAGAGCAATTCTACTAAATTTTTCGGAGTCCAAATGTAGAGCAGGGTGAGCAAAATGTCATCACATCATCGTGTTTGATTTTGTCAAGGTAATAAACGTGCGTAGGTGGCCATGGCGCCACACTTCCGAGCAAACGGAGCGCAGCATGACTAGATCCGGTCAAACTCAAGACCCAAGAAGACAAAGACATATAAGACTCCTCCATGAGACATGGTTTCTTCAAATCATCTCCCCGCCTTCTCCAGCCCATCAATCAACAAGCCCAGTCCCACGACACCTCCCACACACATAACACACCTCCAAGACAGTCAGCACGACTCAGTCCTCAGAGGACCAAATCTACTGCTCAGTCTGGAAGTAGTTAAGGAGAACAGAGCGCTCCTGCGACTCCTCACCCCAGTCCTTAACAACGACGCACGAGCAGTTAACGACCTTGCGAGCGTTACCCTCACGGTCAAGGGTGCCTATGCCAAGTCAGCACACATGTTCCGGAAAGAAAAGAAAAGAGGTATAACATACACAGACCAACCCACTCGCCAAGCATCTTGCCATCGGGAACCTTGATAAGAGGAATCTTGTGCTCAGAGCAGAGAGCAACAACAAGCTTCTTGTAAGCCTCCTCCTCGCAGCCCTCGTTAAGGACACACATGTGAGCCTGGCGGCGGTCGAGGGCCTTGGCGGCCTCGCGCAGACCGCGGGCCAGACCGTCGTGGATGAGCGAGATGCGCAGAACGCCCTTCAGAGCGTCCAGGACGGACATCTGGCCGGAGCCGGCATCGGCGGAAACCTCGACCTCATCGGCGGCGGCAACGGGGTTGGACTGGGTCTCTTCTCCGTCCGACTGGGTGGGGTGTTAGTATTTGGGCTATTTCGGGAGGTGAGATTGTTGGGAATGGTTTTGGAGGGGGAGGGAAATTGGTATTCGGAGGATTGTTGCACAGTCTCTTTTTGTGAGTCCCGGGCAATCAACTCTTCGAAATACCGTTCCATCTCTCCGTCTCGCACAACCGTATAGTAGATATCGGATCACAGGCAAAACTCGAGGTCGACGTACCATTTTGATTGCTACGGTATTTGGTAGGTAGCTGGGTGTTCAATTCAAAAGTCGGAAGATCCTCAAAGAGGGGTGGTATTCGATTGAGGTAGTGGATGGAGATTAAAGTGGTGATGGTGTGGAATAATTTTCGATTTCTCGGTTGTGCGCACTACGCTTATGTCATCCACGAATATCACGTGACGGATTTCGAATTGTACAACAGTAAAACGTGCAACTACAACCAACTACTACAGATAGAAAAATTGGTGACAGACGACCCGAACAAGTAGATTCGTCACAGGTTAAACGCAAGAGGTATCATAGTCGTACATAACAAAACTCCGCCCTGTACACCACTTTCCCCCAAAATCTGCCGGCGCTGTGGCCGAAACAGCGAAGAAGACGCTCACAAGAGAAAAGGAATTAGACATATGTACTAGGCCGCGAGTGTCCATAGCCATTCAGTAAACCGGAAGGAGAGCCGCTGGAGGTGTCGACCGAAGCAGCATGGCCGTTTGGCTGGGCAGTGCCGCCCAGTCCGCCAGAGAAGGACTCTTGGTCGATATGCATGCTGAGGAACTGGAACTGCAGCCCGTTCAGATGGGGGATATGCGGGACGAGGTCCATGAAGTCGGAGAGTCGAATCCAAAATACATGCTCCATGTCGAAGTATTTGGATCGCGTGTCGCAGTCTTTCTGCAGGATCTGGCCAACGGACGAGTCGTGGAAATCGGGTTCATCCGCCTGAATGAGCATCCGTCGAGTGACTCGCCACAGATTCATGCGTTGAGTTGGCGTCGCTTTGCGTTTCTCCCAGCTGGCATCTATTGCGAGTCAAGTCAGCGGACAGTATATGATAATCGAAAAAAAAAAGACTTACATTGCGAAAGTTGGAGGTCATTGGTCGCCAGCAAGGGTGCAACCAAGTAGTTCGGAATCCATTTCTCGTCCGCCATCTCCTTATCACAGGTGGGTTCAAGCTGCTTGGTGAGCGCAGTGACCAAGGGCATGAAACTCTTCAGCCAAGAATGACTTCTCGCGCGAGGGTCATTGGACCCCACAAAATTGGCAGCCACACGGAGGCGAATGGGAAGGGCGTCGCGACGTCGCTGCTCCAGTTCTTCTTGGTCACGACGGACTTTCGCCATTCGGGCCCGTTCCTGATCCAGGCGTTTCTGGCGCTCGTCTTCAGCCTGCTTGATTCGCCGCTGTTCGGCTTCCTTGCGTTTGCGCTCGTCCTCCTCAGCCTTTTCGCGAGCAGCGCGAGCCGCTCGGCCCGCCTCTTCCTTGGCCAGTCGAGCTCTCTCCTCCTCGTCAGCAACACGTCGTTCTTCGGCAACGCGCTCATCCTCGGCCTTCTTCACCTCAGCTCGCTGACGTTCTTCAGCATCCATTTCAGTCCGCTTCTCATCCGTTGGAACTTCACTCGCCTTCGGCTCTTGCGGTTCAGCCTTCACGACCCCATTCTCCATAACGGCATCTTCCTTGGGCGACGATTCAGGAGCGACAGGCTTCTTCGATGGCTCTCCAGACTTTCGCGTCGTGTTTTCATCCATCCGCGAAGGATCATCATGAGAAGTGGGCTTATCAGCATCCACAGGCTCGTTTCCAGATTTGCGGGAAGCGCCGTTGGCATTTGCCTCGGAGAGCATGCGCCGCTTCTTCTTTTGCGACTCAGTAGACAATTGGTCGCCATGGCTACCACGGGACCGAGATCGTTCTGGTGAAGTATCGGCGCGAATGCGCTTGAGAGATGAAAGCGACTCAGGCCCGTCAGCACGGGCCTTGGTGGTTTCTTCACGTCCCGATAGAGAATCCGAAGAGAACAAGCTGGGTCGTCGATCCTGATCTGGACCGGGACGACGTCCTGCGATGAGTCGTCTCTTTTTGACTTCATCGTTGCGTGCCATAGTGCTTGATTCGCTGCCTCTTCTGGCCGAGGCAGTAGACTTCGCGGGACGTGAATCATGGTCCGAGCCACCCATCGCACTGTCACTGGCATCTTTGGCAGATGCCTTGCCACGTGAACCCACCGTCTTCCCCTTCTCGCGTCTCTTCTCTTTATCACCGTCGAAGGCTGAGGGATCGCGACGCCGGGCAGCGTTGGGGCTAGTGTTGGGCTTCTTGGAAGTGCGAGCGACAGGTGAGGAGGATCGTTTGCGCGCGGTGCGTTTATCTTCCTTGTCCTTTGCGCGCGCGCGTCGCGGAGATGAGGTATCGCCCTTGCGGCCATCACCACCATTGTAGTTGTCATAGGCATCCTTGAGCATGTCATATTCTTCCTCCCAGTCCTCGCCCTGGCGAGCTCGCGCGAGCTCATAGTACGTCAGATTTTCGAACAGTCGGCGGGTTGGGTTGAAGCCCGGTTGGTTGAGAATCAGTTGAACAACGGCAGGCTTGCCACGACCGATAGCAGCCAGCATGGGGGTGTTGTAACCGGGTTTGTGGTCAAGGTCAGGGTTTGGGTCCGAGTCTGCATTGCCCATCGCATACAAAAGGGACAGCACGTCGTGGTGGCAGCCCTTTGCTGCAGCAATCAAGGACGCGGTGTCGGCTTTCTGTAAGATGTTCAAGATGCTGACCACACCGGCCTCGTCGCCCTTGGATGCAAAGACTTGAAGGTTTTCCAGTGTCGGTTTCGTCCACAACAGATCGTTCCGCGTGGCTTCACTGCGTCCTGTCTTACGTCGACCCGTTGCACCCGTCTGGGCCGGGCTGCGTGGCCCAATTAGTGGAGGCGAAGGGCTGGCGCCTGAGGCCCGTCGCGAATGCGATGCCGCGATACTGTGTTCCTCTGAGCGTCGACCTGGCCGCGAGCTGGCCTTGGCATCTGCGAGGGTCTTTCGCATCTCCTGGTAATCGTCGTCATCAAGCTCCGAGGGAACGAGTTCATAGGGCTCGTCTCCTGCAGCATTCACGGTTCGAGGGTTTGCGCCCGCTTCCAATAACAGTTTCACCACATCAACATTGCCATTCTCCACCGCATCGATCAACGGGGTATCCTTGTCGATATTCTTGGTGTTTATTTCACAACCGGCGTCCAACAAAAACTTCACAATCTCGGTCTCGCCGTTCAGAGAGACAATCTGCAGGGGGTGTTGCCTGCGTTGTCGGGGACGTTCAAATCTTCAGGGCGTTCCGCATGTCGCGCGGCGACCTGGTCGTATTTTCGTTCGGCACACGCTCTCGCCAGCGGTGTGCGTCCGCTCTTATCGCGCAACTTCTTGGGGCCCATCTGTTTGGCAGGGGAGGCAGAGGTGCCATCCCCAGACCCAAGTTTGCGCAGGCGGGCACTGGGTAGCGGGGAGCCGCTGGCAGAAGACGAGGTGGATTGTCGATCTTCTGAGGCTTGCCGTGGGAAACCAGACAGAAGAGGAGTGGGAGCTTTCTTTCGAGAAGGAACCTGAGAACCAGAGGCGGATCGGGCGTGAGAGACTCGAGTAGGAGAAACGGAACGCGCCTTGGAGGGAGGTGAAAATCGGATGTTGTTATTGACATCTTTAAGGAGGTCGCGGGAAGGGCCGGTCGCTCTTTCCTCCGAAGAGCCTGCGTGGTTTCCTCGACTGGAACTTCTTTTGCGGTGATTTGGCTTGGACGAGCCATGATCCGGCACAGCCTCCGCGAGAGAATCGTGTTCATCTGCCTTCTCGATCTTCACCACCGACGCTAACGGAGGGCCAGTTCGCTGGGACGGACTGGCCGACCGAGAGCTTCGGTCTGCCTCGCCCCGAGACTCGCCATCGATGCGCGGTCGCTTGCGCAGGTGCCCTTCAACGGCGTCCGTGTCGCCCAGCGGCTGGCGTAGGGGGTTGTGCCGAATATGCTTGCGCTTCTTCTCAGGGGAGAGGGATTCACGACCGGATTGGATAATGGTTTCTGCCTCCGAGTCGGCTCTGGGACTCGGAGGTCCTTCGTTGTCGGATTCGACAGCCTGCTCGCGATCGATGCCGGGCCTTGAGTGTGACTCGGGCACCTTTTCGCTGACCGACGGCTCCCCATCCACCTTCACAGCAGCGGTGATCTGACCGACATCCAGGGCAGCTGGCAAAGCGACTGCCTCGACATCACTCATAGCGATAGCACTCGATGTCTTAGGGTTCCGCTCGTCATTTTGGGGCGACACGCTGGGACGACCGTAGTCGGCAGGGCCACCAGTGGTGCGCAGACGCAAAGATGTGGCCACTGGGAGGAGGGAGTGCACTCTTGGAGGTGAACAAGGTGAACTCGACGAGAGCGGAACGGTCGCGTTTGACGAAAATCGAGAAGCGCTGGGAATAGTGGTCGGTAGAATCGACGGTCGGAGAGGAGGGATCGAGTAGTGCGTAATTAAAATTATATAAAGGGAGGCTGATGGAGGAAAGGGGAGGGGGGGGGAAAAAGGGTGGGTAGAGTCTTGAGAGGGAGAAAGAGAGGGAGAAGAGAGAGAAGGCAGAGAAGAGGGAGGGAAGGAAACTGGGAAGGAAAGGAATGGAGCCATTGGGTAAGGGTCGATGGGTCGGGCCACTCAGCTGCGTAGTGGCAGTCCTACGATATCATTCACCCAGACGCTTATCAGTACTTCTCCAGCCCTAATTATTCCTCTCACTCATGATCTCCCTTTCCCTTCACTGACCATTAATGCTCGAATGAATATTTCCACTTTCCACCCTCAACCGTGAATCTGCCCGTCTGCATCCACCCATTCCTGGCACGGCCCTCGCCACTAGACCCAACCCGGTGTCTGCAAACTCTGCAAACTCGCGGCGATCAGCTGACTAGCACCAATCATCATGGACTCGCCCCCGTGAGTTACATAAGTCGTTCGTGGAGTTACATTGGCCCGTCTGGAGCTGATTATGATTGCATTTAGGCTCAGATAAACGTGTGAAGTCTCAGGAAGATGGTGTGTGAGATGCCGCCGAACTGATCTATTAGATGAGATGGTCCTGCCGGAAACACAGATCATGGATTTCATTGCACAATCCCTCGACCGCTGCCTAGAGGCGGCGGGCATGGATGCCGTGGATGCGCTGCGCTGCTTCTTCGTGCTCGCGGCGGCAACAGTACGTCCGTCCCTCGATCACGACCATTATCACCAAGCGGCATCGCTAACCCTCGCGTGAAGACCATCTCCGTCAGCATCCCATCCTCCCTCCGCTCCCGCTTCCTCGTCTATGGCCCGCGCGCAAAGACGAAGACCACTCCCACCCCGCGACCTTCGACAGGTCTCCTGGACTACCTCGCAACATGGCGCGTGCCGCACAGCTACTTTGCCCAATTCTACATCGCGTCCCTCCTCTCCTCCCTATTCTGGGCCTGGCAGCTTCTCACCAAGGGCACCGCATTCCTCGCCGTCGCGTCGCGCTTGAGCCCGGAGCACTTGGCGCAGTCCATGTCCGTTCACCAGGTCGTGGTATGCTGGATCCTGGTCACTATCCAGGCCACGCGACGAGTGTGGGAATCATACGCCTTCTCAAAGCCATCTTCGTCGCAGATGTGGGTTGTGCATTGGATCCTAGGAATATGTTTCTACCTCGCAACCGCCGTAGCAATCTGGATCGAAGGGTCAGGCCAGCTGCTTTTCCACGACATCTCCGCATCCCACTTCAACCTAACCATTGCTCCGACCCTGCGCACGTTCCTCTGCGTTCCGCTCTTCCTGATGGCTTCCGGCGTCCAACATGATTGTCACCACTACCTCTCCACCTTGAAGACGTACACCGTCCCCGATGATCACCCCATGTTCCGCGGCGTGGTCTGCCCGCACTACGGCGCGGAATGCCTGATCTACCTCTCGCTGGCAATACTGGCTGCGCCATCTGGTCAATTGGCTAACAAGACGATGTTGGCGTGTTGTGGTTTTGTGGTTGTCAATCTGGCCATCACGGCCAAAACCACTAAACTGTGGTACATGCAGACTTTCGGTGCGGAGGTCGTGCAGGGTTGGTGGCTTATGATTCCGTTCGTCTATTAGTGTTCGCCAATCGACATGGGTGTCGTTCCGAACCACGGGAGGTGATCGATATCGGACTTCAAATGCCTACCGGTATTCGACTCATGAAGTTACTCGACACCGGACTTTGTGACATGCAGATCGCAGTTCATCTGCAGAACTCTTGATGCCAGGATAGTAACCGAAGGCGATCAAGATCGGATTCAACCCTCTGCAGCATGATCCAGCTTCCAGACATGCATACCTACCTGTAAAACATAGTTAGACTGTACATAAAAAGAACAGTTATGATCCCCTCCCCAGAAACTTCATAGTATTTCCCACAGCGGCCACCTTAAGCACATCGCGATACGTCAGACTCGTCCGCGTCTCGCGATGGAACCACCCATTTCGGAAGGCATGCGGGTCCCGCAACAAACCCCAGTTGCAGATTGTATCCGGGCCCAGGTGTTCTTCTCGTTTCGTCTCTGCGATTCCATGTAGGAAATCGGAGTAGATCTTGCCGCGGGTCACGAGTAGACTTCTTCGTTCCTGTAAGATTCGGTACTGCGGTTTTCGCTCTGCACTGGATTTGTAATAGGTGGCTTCGGTGTGGTTGTGGTTGTGGTTGTGGTTTTGTTGGTGCTGTTGCTGCAGTTCTGGAAAGTCCTTCGGATATAAATCCAACACAATCCCCGCCCCCAGACTAACCGTCGCCACGAGCGGATAATACGCCGTCCCATCCTCATGCGGCATGATCCCCTGGCCGGGTTTGTACTCATTAACAAGGACATGGTTCGGTGCCTGATGCGGCGCATCACTAAAGATGCCCAGGTCCTTCAGCCGCGGCTCGATGATAGGATTGACGAGCCATTGTGGGAGCGGGGATGCGAGGAGGGTGTTCGTTTTTGTCAGCGCTGAGGGCCAGGTTTGTAGGCGGCGGTGGGTGAGCTGAGTCCAGCGGGGGAGGGGTGCGGATGCGATCTGTTTATGAGGGTGTTACTAGAGTGTTGGGAAGGGTTTCGATAGATCGTACCTTTTGGAGAAGTCTGGTCTCCTCCTCTTCGGTTATAAAGTCGGAGATGTAGAATGCATCGTCTGGTAGGGCCGGTATCCGCGCAGCCTCGAGATTGAACTCCATGGGTGATCAAGAGAAGAGAGAAGAGGTACTGGAAGAGTATAGGGCCACCCCACCACGTCATGTCCAGCCTCAGGCAACAATATCAGCCCCACCCAAGAGACCGTCGTTCGATTCGATTCAGAACATCACATACACTTCCACGCTCTGCCATGGCACCCAAAAACAATGCCAAAGGCGGCGACAAGAAAGGCAGCAAGGGTAAAGGGAAAGAAGCCTCCAATGACGACGCAGCCAAGGGCAAGGGCGGCAAGGGTGCCGGCGCACTGAAAGCGGGCCAGTCGATTAACGTGCGACACATTCTGGTGTGTTTTTGCCTTGATCTCTTCCAGAGACTATGTAAGAGGGATGTTTGACTGATTCATATATATTTCAGTGCGAGAAACACTCCAAGAAGGAAGAGGCATTGGAGAAATTGCGCAATGGGGTCAAGTTTGATGAAGTTGCTAGGGAGTTTTCGGAGGATAAAGCCCGACAGGGTGAGTACAATAGGGACTGCCTAGCAAGGTCCCCTTTTTAAATTGACTATGTACTGATGGCGAGAATAGGGGGCTCGCTCGGGTGGAAGACGCGAGGGAGTCTGGATCCTGCGTTTGAAAAAGCCGCGTACGAGCTGGAGCCCAGCTCGACGGGGAATCCCAAGTATGTCGAGGTTAAGACGGGGTTTGGGTATCACATTATCATGATCGAAGGGCGGAAGTGAGAGATAGAGAGAGCTTTTTTCTTTCTATTAGATACCATCTGGTATACATGCAAAACGCCCAAAATGAGATCTGTATATATACGTCTGAAACATGACCGAATCAAATCATACCTACAACTCCTTCTTCGCACTCTCACTCTGCTTCGCCCGTTCCTTCGCCTTCTTCTCCTGTCTCTGCACCGCGGCCTCGGCGCCAATCCCGCCAAACACGAGCCCAATACCCAGCCACTGGCCTCCAGACAGAGAATGGCCGAACCAGAACACGCTGAGGAGCATGGTCAACATCTTGCGAGTGACGGTGACAGTCACGAGAAGCAGCGACGAGAACTTGGACAAGGTATAGAAAATAAAGACCTGCCCGATGGCGCCGCAGGTGGCAAAGCCGAGGACGTTCTTCAATGCTTCCGGGTGGCGCGAGAGGAACGAGATAGCCCCGAACAGCTCCGTCTCGGTGGAGGGCGGGATGGGGATTGGGAGCAGGTTGTGCAGGAGTCCGCTTTGGGAGATATGCGGCATGAGCAGGAGGTAGGCCGTCGTGAGGACTGTCGAGAGCACGTTCTGGGCAACCATCATCTGCGGACCGGTGAAGCGCGTGTACGTCTTTGGCGAGGTGAAGACGTGGTCTTGGGTTGTGTTGGTGAGGCCATCTAGCAGGAGATTGATGGATAGCAACAGAATCCCGTACATGGAGGACCCGTTTTGCTTTGCAGCAGATGCGGCAACCTTCTTGCTGGTTCCAGGGTGGTGCAGCGTGAAAGTTGCAACGCCAAGAGTAACCATGAGAACAACAAGGTATTTGTACAGTGGGTATCGCTTCCGGAAGATAGTCAAGTGCAGAAGCATGACAGGCAGCAATTTGCAGGACTTGGCGAGAATAAAAGTCAGGTAGTCGATGTGCGCGAGACTGGCATAGCCGAATGGCGACGCAAGTGACGAGGAGATGCTGACCAAGAGCAGAGGGAAGAGGATGCGACGAGTCGGGAAGATAGAGGGAATTTTCTGGCCCTTTGGTGTGGATAAGAAGAGGTATGCGAAGCCAGTGATCGCCGCGAAGGAGGACTGGATCGTGTTCAGCACGAGCGAGTAGGTGAATCGCTCCGTTGGAGGCTCTGGCTCGGCGGCTGTGACTGGGCGGATGGGATAGGCGGTGGTGGTGATGGCCTCCTGTAGCACACCCCATGAGAGGCTGCCGGGCTCTGTTAGATATCGGACTTGCTTGCAGATGAGATCCAATCACTTACAAAGCAGCGTATATACCGAGAACGCAGATCAGAAGCTGCATCAACCCGGGGCTATCCGCGGTGTCTAGCGGTGCTGGCGCTTTGGCGGATGTGCTTCCATTGGCGTCGGGGGAAGTCATTGCATCTCCCTTCTGGACCTCGGAATCATTCGTGATCATATCCGTCAACTGCGACGAAGGTGCTCGCTGAAGCGGTGTTTGTTGCTTTTGCCGACCCATTGCGGCGGTGGCTTCAAGTCACAAACAAAGACGGTGTTTCCAAAGGTTGACTCGGTGCAAAGCAATCACGAAATCAAAGACTCTAACCGGTCTTTTGGGCGCAGGGGAGAATGGAGAATGGAAATTGCCGATGATGCCAACTGTTCTTAGTTACTCCGCCAAAACAAATGGTTGTTGCTTATCAGCGCAGGCGGTGAACCTATTCAGCCTGAATAATTTTCTCTATCAATCAACCGCAGCTGTCACTCAATCAACAACAACATCCTCACAATGGCACCAAATCCAGCACCGCCCGAGCCTTCAGCACTCACCCAGCTCATCTCCTCTGCCTCCGCATCCAACAATCCCATCCTCGCAACCACCCTTCAGATCCTACACAACCTCCAACACCAACACCTCTGGACATCTCTCCAAACCCACGACATCCCAACCCCTCCAAAGAGCACAACAGACACACCACCAATCTCCCTGATATCCGGCATCCCCCCACACCGCGTGTACACCCACCCAGACGAGCAGCTATACATGCTCGAAAAGGGCCTGCGCGACGACGACCTCCGTCCCGAGAGACTATTCGTCATCCCCACTGCGCAGGGCCAGTCATGGAGCGTGCACCGCATTGCCGCGATTTTCGATTCACTTCCTGAGGTTCCGAGCTCGGACAGTACAGAATCATCTATGACGGGTGTTGATGCCGAGATGCAGGCGAAGCTCGCGGAGTATTATACCAAGAAAGAAGCGGCGCGCGCAACGAGGGAATGGGGTGGGAAGAGGGTGGTGCTCGCTATGGTGGATAAGGGAATGGGCGGGGATGGGACGGTGGCTTACTACGTTGTGCACGATGGCGAGGTCAAGCCTAGGCAGAATTGAGGTCTCCCGCAAGGGAAAGGAAAGACTGTCTGTCTGTCCGTTGTCTCCGCTGATACAACAAGATTCAGAAGAGTGGTGAATGATTATGTGCATTGCTTCGCAAACTATTTTCCAAGAAGGGGAAATGGCTTGCACCTATATGTACGCCAGATTATCGACAAGAAACAAACCCACAATGTGTGACCATCGGCTGCCGGGTATAGTGTGGTCGATCGAAACAAGCAAAAGCACAGAAACAGGCAGCCGGATGGTCGAGCGCGACCTTTCCAAAGAAAATATTTTCAAGCAAGCAGGTTATCACGGTTATTCTTCTCGACTTGGTCGTGCTCCTTTCGACAGCTCGAGCAGTACGCTTCATACCACTGCTTTACGTCATCGGCATGTTCGGCGAAGACTTGTTCGGCTTGTGCCAACCGGCCAACTTTATCGCCATTCTCAGCGTTGCCGCTGAGAAGGATCTCAACTTGGCGACAGCGGCGGATCTCGTCGCGGAGCCAACGCTCCCATTCATTCTGGATGACCTCTCGCTCGATGCTGTTCACGACACGCAGCGCCACGAGCAGATTGTGTCGGTGCGTGCCCAGGCGTTCGCGGGTCTGCTGGAAGCGTTTGATAGTACTCCGGGTCATCGCGTCTCGGGGGGCAGCGGTGCTGAGGGCAAGAGGCATCTCCGCATGTCGCGTGGTCTGTTCATGGAATGTGGAGAAGCAGTCGCTCGGGCTGCCTGAGTTGGGCCAGATGGTTGTGTTTGCCACGGCCTCGTCGATATCCCTCATATAAATGGCCCTGCTCATGACCAAGTCTGGTTGGACTCCAAGCCGGGCCATGAAGTTGCTGGCGTGTCTCTCGTGCCACCAATCCCAAGTATCCCGGGACGAATAGAATCCGTTCATGAGCACGCTGGTGACCAGCAAGACCAAAAGCACCTTGTGTGCATTCACGGTCTTCCACGACCAACGGAGCAAGTCGAATGACCAAATAATAATTGACGAAACGGCGCTGTCCAGCATTGACAAGAACATCCCCATAAGCAGTTGTGTCATGGTTCGCTGATGTCGCTTCCGCGACTCCAGCTTCAGGTTTCCGCCGGCACCGTTGAAATGAGAAACGTGGCTCTGGCGTCCGACATGGCCAAAGATGGTAATGGCCTTTTTGGTGCGACTATGTGCGCCCAGTCGACGCACTTGATCACTCACCAAGTCTACCAGATCTAAGGCATCCTCTTCGAGATCCTTGATTGCCCTCTTGTTGATGGAACCTGGCGACTGTTAGAAATGGCCCTCAAAACAAATCAAAGAAGCTCACTCTTCAAACCGTACGGCGACCATAGCCATTCCACATTCGTGTAAATGGCAAGCTTACTCTTCGACTTGGCCTGGAAAGTAATGACAACTTTGCTGACCAGTCGGAAAGAGCGTCGGAATGGAAGATGCCAAGGGGTCTTCTTATCGGTGATCACATAGCAAAGATGATCATTGAGTACGTCGATGATTTGGTAATCTGCAATGGTATTCTCATAATTTCCTCCTGAGGAAAAAGATTAATCTCGGCAGAGTTTCAATCAGCAGAGTAACGTACCGAGTAGGCCCGTAGTGCCAATCTTATACTGAAAGTCTCGTCGGAGATGACGTGATTCCGTAGTGGCCCAAGGCCATTGCTTGATGTCTGCACAGCCTATCAGTCAGTCATAATTCACACTGACGGCAACAGTCCAACCTACCGCGTGCTTCCCTCTCATGAAGTAGAAGTTGCCAAACGGCACTCTTGTCGCCAAATAAAATGTGAAAGAGCGCCTTAGGACTGACATCAAGCAGCTTTTCCGTTGCCAGAACGAGATTTCCTTGCGGGACATACTCAACGGGCTGCGTGGGAAGTCTAAACTTTGGCAGATCTCGCCCACGGCCAGCATCCAAGTCAAGACCCTTGTCAATATAAATAGGGGCGCGGAGATCCTTCTGAGCAGCAGGTTTC